ACACACATACTGAATGATCTCAGACATTTTAACGCACTGTCAAGCATACAGAAATGGGTTTGGCTGGTGGTCAGTGTTAGAAACACTATTGATATATCATGTACTACATTTTTGTGGATTACACATTGTATAATCAAATGAAATGTAGCTATTCTCAAATGGATCTAAAATATTTTAGTTCAAAAACACAAGTTCCCAAAAGATCTAGGGAATTTGGATATGGGTCTGCTTATATTGTTCCTGAAGGCATATATATTTACATGTGGAAAATAAGTAGATTTCAGGTAATAATAATTTTTATCCTATGTTAATTTTTGTACTTCTTCAAGCCATTACCACTAGGCAGATTTGCTAAGGCAGTTACCTTGCAAACATTCTCATATGTACTTAGCATTAAGCATATGAATAAGCCCCACTGACTTCAGTGGAACCTCTTAAACGCTTAAAGATAAGCACCCATTATAATACTGGATTGAGACAGAACGCGCTACATATTACAGTGTTGGTTCTTCAAGTGTAACCCAATCAAATGAAAATCAAAACACCATGAACATGTAAACATGAATGTTTCATAACTCTATGGATTCATATTTGGCTTTGTTACATGATGCTGCTATTTTGATTTATACCATTTCAAAAAGTACTCCCCTAAAATAACCATTTCAAGAAGAGACCATAAGTGGAACTCGACCAACCAACTTGATGAAGTTTCAAGAGCGTCTAACTTCAAGGGAAGCTTTGCTAAGGACACTTCACTTTTATGAAGATAGGTAATGTCACTTGATGTGCTTTCTAGATGGATTGTTAATAAACACCCTATTTTTTCATATCTGTAAATGTTTAGGTTTTGAAGCGTCATTTCATAATGATCTTTGGAGCTAGACTGTAGGCTCAGTGTTTGATTAGTTTAGTATTAATTTCTTAGGTGAAAACAGATTTATCAAAAAAATGGTGTTCTTAGGAATTATTTTACTCTTTTTTTATGTGGGGAATTTGTTCTGGAAAAAAAGTATAGCATTCACAGTAAGTACTGTGATGCTGTATTGTAGTGAAAGACAAATTATGTGTGTAGCGAAGGTTTTTAAAAAGTTATCACCGTTTCTGAATTTCTCATTGTATGCGCTATTCCAAGCAAGGAAAACCAAAGGGGCAATGAACTTGTCTGACTTCTGGTTAAAGCCTGAACTGCCTGGCTTCTTTCAGTTGGCTGAAAGGCTTCATTTTAAGGAGTTACTTTGCCTATTCCTGAGGATAATCTCATTCAATCTGTGCATTCAGAAGTATCCTGGCAATGATGAAACACAAAGGAATGAGGAAGTGGGTGTTAAGGCAGAATAAATTGAGAAACTGTGGCCATAAGACGGCATCACAACCCAACAGGGAGATTCTGGAGCATTATGTATCCTCAAAGAGCTCCTTTCACATTGCTTTTTTCCAAGTGCTGTTGTACTTCCTAATATAAACTCAAAAGAGCTCCTCCTTGGAAGGTGCAAATTGAAGAGAAAAACAGCATGTCAAGCGAAAGTAAATTTCCTTTCCCGGATCTTGTAGATAAGTTGGATTGTCTTCTGACACATTCAAGAAAATTAGAAACATATGCAGTGAAAATGTTCAGATGGAAGTTTAATTGCCAGCTCCTTACAATTTTTCTCCAAGTAGAGGATTACCTCTAGTTAATGCCTGCAAAATGTAACCTCTGTTTACTCACTGTGCTAAGAAAGACCATTATCGAAAAGCCATACAAACCTAAATTTGGATCTTTCTGAAATAGAACCAACTGCATAATATAACAAGCACCCACTACCACCAGCATGCTATATATACACAACAATACCCTTTCAAGTTTAACGCAGTCTGGAATAGTGGCAGCAGGCCAGCACATTATCTTCTAATCCATTCCAAACCCAGGTTTCTAAATGTTATAAATATTCATATATGCCATAGAAAACTACTAAGGGCTTTAGTCACACACTTTTTGCATAATCTTTATGTTCCAAAAATGAAAGAATGTTTGCCCTTTTTTTGCATAAGGATCAGAGTGTGAATTCCCTTTTGTTCGTCTCCACAGAACCCGAAAACCAATATGCGCAGATTCTCTAATCCTCATTTCACACCTGAAGGGTGAAGAGGCTTGACAAAAAGAAGCATCAGTGGCCAGCATCATGGCACTGTCTTGTGCTGCTATGGCAGGTCAGCACTTTCAGAGCTCTCTCGTGACTTCTGCTCCCTCTACAGGTGCCATTTCTGAGACACGCTGGGTAGTGCAACATGGAGATGGTGCCACGGAAACTGATCTTTGCAGGCTGTCTGATGATTTGAGAAATGGCACTGATATAGCTCCCAAATAATTACGTCTTCCCTCTCTCTGTGAATACAAAATTCTGTGCTGGCAGTCAAGATTATGCAGCTTAGGTTTGCAAAAAGTACAAATCAGTAAGTGGTCAAGAGTATGAAATACTGCCTGTCCTTAAGGAGAGTCGTGTTCTGTACTTTCCTCACTTTACTTTCTCGTCTTTGCTCACAAGACATAATTCTAGGAAAGGGCTTTTACATTTTTTCTAAATATATAGCTATAAAAGCAGTGTCACTTGAATGTTATATATTGCCATGTACTGCGCTGCAGGTTTTAGATTGTCCTGTATCTGCTAAATCATACAGAGTTTATGGGAACTAACATTACTGACAGTTTTGGGGGCTCTCCTTCGCCTGAAAAGAGGGTCATTAAAGGACCTAAAAGACAAATGTGTATTCTAGATCACAAGCTAATTGCGTTTGCTGTCTACTGCCATCTTTTTGTCTTCCATCTACTTGCAGCTCTCAAAATGTCCTCAACCTGCCAAACTACAACTAAACAATTTTAAAAACTTTACAAGCCTATTCATTCCTTTTTCCTCTATGACAAATACGTCTTCAGTTTTTACATAGATGGGTCTTCTAAAGCAACACTTAGAACTAACATCTACTGTGAACTCACTAGAGGAGAAAAGATGCAGGTAGTTTTTACCACAAAAGGTCATGGAGTATATGCCAACCTAGAAGGTACGTCTGAACAACACTAAGGTGGAAACAGCTCGTACCTTGTCTCCATCAGCTTCTTACAGTGAGATAAGTAAAAGACCTTCAATACTTCTCTAAAACCACGTCTTGTTTGGTCTTGAAGACAAAGCCTTTTATTAAATGCTTATATTACTAACACCAGTAATTTAGTTATTCTGTCTACTTACTGATAAAAGTATAAATAACAAGCACCAGGCTGGATTTTAAGGCCAAATGGTTGTTTCCTCCACCCCTTCCCTTGCTTCATGCAATAAAGGGCATAGTAAAGAGCACAAGTACAGTGCAAATACCAAGAGTATACCTATTTCTGACACATTCAATATTGTTTGGCCACGTCTTGTACAAACCAAATGGGTCCGCTTACAAACTTGCCTCTTTACACATAGCTGTTTCTCTACCATATATGTTATTCTCTTTCCTGGCTAGCTGTCTCTGCTCTCCCACTACTCACAGCCTCCTCCAAATAAGAGGCATCCATGGGGATCGGGAGATGGGGAAGGGGAAGAAGGAGCAGGCAGTTAAAAAAGCCGCAGCAGGTAAAGCTCAGCAATGCTCTGCAGAGTGATGTCCCCCCGCTACTGCCAATACCACAGTTGTGCCACTATACCTCTGAAAATACTGATTTATGGGAAAGTGTAGCAGGAAAAAATTGACTTGGTCCCTTTCCTTTTTAGCTTGACTCGCTAAAAAAACTAGGCTAATATGGTTTAACACTATCTGTCTGGTTTTCCCTTCTTCTCTAGATAAATTTGTTAAATTTGAAAAAAAGAACCCAGAGTTTTCAAACATAAGAAAGCTCCTACCAATTTTCTGAGAAAACAGATGGCTGTGGACAAGAGAAAGATCGTGTAAGTGCCCTCTTCTCCTGTCTCCTTCAGGGAAAAGACTCTCGTGCAAGTTCCTACGTTATGACAAAAGCCTATTCACACAGAATTCCCCAGCCATGAAGAAACCACACATGCCCGAGCCACAAGGAAAGCTCTGAGCAGAGCTCAGGCAGCCATGAAACAAACATTTAGGAAATCAGGCTTTGCTGTTTCTGGCACCTCGGGAACTCCTGGCTCAGACACTGTCTGACAGCTCCTGCTTGTTTTAAGATGCATTGTTTAATATAAATAATAACAGAAACATCAGAAAACATAAAAGATTTAAAGGAAGCTGTTTCAGCTGAAGAGATGCCACTAGATCAAACTTCTACTTTTGGCCGCCAGTTACAGGAATAAAGTTGTCAGCAGCACATCAGCTGTCGGGATCAGAGCTCTGTGGTGAGAATGCAGACACGATGCCAGAGGCTGTTCTCAGTTTCATCACTGTGCTTATACGAGAGACAGAGAGACCCACCTCCTCCGGTGGCAAATGGCACCACCCATGGCAACTACCCAGATATTTTTATTCATAAACTTCAGCAAGCATCAAAGTTAGGATGCATCAAGGGAAATAATTTTCCAAAGAACGAAGGTGTTATAGAGAGATCAGTAATAGAGTGGTTCCCAGCAATATTCAGAAGTATCTCCACCTGCTTGTGACAGAACATTGTGCAGCAAAACAAACAGGCCGAAACAACAAATGGCAGGACAGGATTCCTGTGAGGAAATCTGGTTTCTGCTTTTCTCCTGAAAATGGCAGAATAACATCACAGATTTACCTTGAGTTTATACTTATGTAAAAGAGAGCTGAATTTATCTGTGCATTATCTGGCTGAGTGGTCTTGTCTTCACTAGTTAATATCTGGCAATTATGTGTGGATGTGACAGTTGTAAGCTTAACACAAGTAGGCGGCAGCGACTGAGGTTTAACAGTAGGCTTTTCTTCTCTGCTTGACCTGATGACACATGCAAAAAGCTAAAAACTGCCAGGTCCACATTAGGATTTGAATGAATTATGTGGGTGGAATCTGAATACATGTTTCTTTGAAGAGCTATGGGTTGAGAGAAGCTGTAAAAACACCACAGAAGCATGAAGAATAGCCAGTGAAGAACATTGAAAACACAAAAGATATACTTGTAGTAAGGCCTGGAGAAAAAGCAGAGTGATCTTTTAGGTAGAGCGCTAACTGAAGAAAGTTTTATAATACTGAGAAAGGAGAATGCTTCCCTTTCTGTTGCGTGGTAGAGCATGAGACATTATATTGATCTTTGAAAAATATATAGCATCAAAAATACATTAATTGAGCTTCACTTTCCCCCCCTAAAGAAAATGCTCAAAGCTCCGATTACTGATCAAAATGGATGGTATTATATTCATGCCGTATAAAATTTTATTTAAAAACTTTGGGTGCTGCTAGTAAATCCATGTTCTAGAGATAACATACCTCTGAAGATAAAGCAATTTGCAGACTAGGGTCAAAAGGGCAGGCCTGCAGCAGCCTAGATACAGATCAGTGTAAGCTGCTATAAAATTCAGTCTTGGCCTTGGGAGTGCCAAACTGTGGTACAGAGTGGTGCAGAACCATTTCTAAATGACAAGCCTGGGTTGAACTTCTGTCCATGGGCAAGTGTTCACAGGAGAGCTCCTAACTCCTGTAATGGCTTTTATACATAATCAGGTATAAAGAAGAGCCTGAGGCGTGCAGCTCTGAGGCCTGTGGATGTACCAGCTCTTCTGGCTCAGGAGGTTTAAGTAGGCCAAGTAAGGTGGAGAACATGGAGCCAGCCACATAGCCATGGCTATAGCAATGCAGCTGCCATCCCTCCTGGTTTGGAGGTGCTCCAGCCAAGTCGGAGACCCTTTATGTTCCCCAAAATATTTGCTATCTACACTAAAATGTATATATTTATCTATCTAATTATAACAAGTAGTCCAGGAAAAAGTCTTTTTACGCAGGTAGAAGGCTCAAGGCCTTTGGAAGGAGATGACAACACAGTCTGCGTATGCAATTAAAGAATGTCATTATTGCAAAGTGAGGTCAGGCCCTTACTCAGGCATTAGCACTACCATTTACCCACAAAAAAGACTCAGCTTAGTAGGGAGGTTATTTTCATCCTAGGACAGAGGCTGTCCAGGAGCTACAGACTAAAATCTAAGAGAAGAATTCACTCAGAATGATGATCACTGTGAAGTTTTCTAAAGAGCTGAAAGTCCTCTGCTCTTCCCCTCTGCGGTGTCAGTGCAGGTAAGAAAAGCTCGTCCATAGCGCAGTAGAAATAACCATGGAGTGCTTCTGGTTACTGTAGTACTAAGAACAATCAGATATAGGTGCCAGAGTAGATATGCCCTGGCATGGCTGCTGAATGGAGCTTTACTGCAGAAACAGTAAGTCAGGTTTGGTTTTGCAGTGCAGCTGCTCATAGCTGGGCTTGGCTAACCCTGGTTCTCAGATGTAGGTGTCATTAACCACATAAATTAAGAATGTGGCCTTAGCAACCAAGAAAACTGCTTCCTCACTGCTGAGGAACTTGAGTTTCAGTTGAGATTTCTGCCATGGGAAGTTGCTTGCCTACAGTTTTTGACAACAGTGTTTGAAATTATGAGAGCTTAGGTGAAGGATTTAAAATAAATCAAATCTGAGTGTCATCTAACCTTCTATCATTGATCCCCCTTTCCAGTATGAAAGCAATCAAGTCACAGAAGTCTCCTTTCACTTGTTAAAGGAAAGAAGAAAACAAGATGTTGTGCACATTCTGTATTAAAGGTCCTTTAATTCTCTGAGGAGCAATTGCAGAACTATCCCAGCCTGAGGCAGTTCAGTCCTGTTTGAAGGAACAGCAGTTAAAATCACAGCCTGATCCCAAACTGGCTGTTAAAAATTGTCTCTAACAGCCCTGCTTCCTGTCACTGCTGCTGCCTCTCCTAGGAAACATTTTGGCTGTGCATGGCTCAGTGGGCAGTTGCTTCTCTACCTCTGTGAGGTCTTCTGGAAACCCAGAGGACCCCAAGCGCGGTGCACAATGCAGACTGTTTTTGCCAGCTCTTGGTCCTGCCTTAACTGTCCCTAGCCCTGGAAGTCATTGTTGAGAAGTCCACTGCTGAAGAGATGAATAGGGAGGTCTTTTTAAATTTTCATATCAGATATGTCATACATACCATTTTTTCGAAGTTTACTAGATTGTCAGTGAACGTCTTGTTTCCCTCATGAGTAAACGTCATGTCTGTACAGAAATAAAAGCCACATAAAAGCCCATTACTGAATCATGGCCGTACAAAACAGCAGAACATTTTATCTATCCCTTACAAAAATCGAAGCAGCTATAAAAGTAAAACATTCAGTTTTTAATTTGCAGCATTTCTGAGACTAGTAAAATTGAGGTATGATATTCAGATGTACTAAAGCCGTTTTTCTTGTCTCTGTGTCACGCTTTTTATAATGGAAAAAGATCATACCTCACACTGAGATTGATTTTTGCTTTTTCTTGCTGCTACTCTTATTCTTCAAATATTTGACAAATAGCTTTCAAGTTAATAATTCTGGTAACATCCAAGCTTACCTTTTATAAGTAGTGGCATGAAAGGAATTATTGGAGGGTCCAATTTAGCTACAGTTAGTCTGTAGGCCCGATGGTTTCTTGATGGATCCTTAAGAAAAAAAGAGAAATCAAATAATTACTAGTAGGTATTATTATATGTATTGAGGCACTGTATGCATTCATTTAGATGTCATGGCATTTATTAAAATACTCATTTTCTCCTGCGACTTTAAAAGTGCATCTGCAAACTAAGACACCTTTTATCATTCTCCCATATAGCTTACATGATGAGAATGCAGCCGCTAAATACAAACATTTTTCATGCCAAATAGCAAGGTAAGATATGATTACAAAAAAATTGTTCATAAAAGGAACCACACATTTTTCCTCCCTCCTTGCTGCTGCAGATCCAGTTTTGCATATGTTGTAACACTAAAATGTATCGCCTGGAAAAATCCAGGTTGGAAAATGTAACTTCCCATATGTACTATTGGAAAACATGTGATAAAGCTTTTCTGAGTTTCCAGATTAACTTTGAGTGGTACATAAGTTCTCTGAGAGTAGGTTCCTAAGAGTATAATTTATTAGTCATACATACTTGTTTTAGCAGCTCTAAAATGGGATCATAAACTTCTTAAAGTCAAACAAGGACATATAAAATGTTCTGAATCAAGGAATTCAAATCAGTTACTCAGAAACTGAATTAGCTCAGATTGTGCATAGAATAAGGGATCTATTGCTATTCACCATTAAGCTTTCAAACTCTGCATAGATCTTCTTGAACTTGCTTGGAAGTTTCTGTTAATAAAAACAAAAATAGCAAACCTTAATTAAATCCAATTTGTGTGGTAATTTTACTGTAAATGCTAGTTCCTTCTACAACGCCCTAAGTCAGGAAAGTGCTCTTTTTGCCAGATATTTCTAACAATGTGCTAATCTAAAATACAACACGTCTCCTAGCAACCAGATTATAAATAGAGACGGGACCAGCCATGAAACCTGGATCCTGATTTAAACCCCAACTTGAATTTACTCCTTTAGGATGTTTAGATTCAGATTTTTGCTTGGCTCACATTGCAATCACTGAATTCAGAATGTAAGTGAAAGTTCAAATCAAAGGTTTCAGGGCCTTCCTGCTTATAGCCTATCTGAAAATGTAATTTACACAAAGCTTGCGTAGGGGTAGCTCAGCTTAATTATTCATACCTATGATGAACTGCCCTTGCAACATTCAAATCCATGCCTGGGCATTTCCATGAGGTTTTTTGTTCATGCTGATGTATCACCAACTATTGCTCAAATTCTTGAGACATGCCCAGCAGCCAAGGGCTTCTACCGCTTTCTGGGATATAAATTAGTGAATAGTTTTTCAGTCCACAATACCTACACAGACAAATCATGGTCAGTTGATCATGCAGTGATTGCGATGAGATGGGCTTTATCAAATATCTTCTTTCCCCCTCATGTTATGTTATATATATTAAATAATTTTACTATAAACACTGTAAGATATGTTATAAATTGGTTTCACAGATCACAGTAATGTTTTAGGCACACTCAGAATATGTCAGTTTTCTAGATTTATTAAGAAATTTCTCTAAATTTGCTGATTAAATCAGACTACTACTGGCAGCGGGTAACATTAAAAATTAATAGAGACTTTACAGTGCAGAAATGATTTTTTGCAATACTTTCTACATTTGGAGTGTGTACCCTAGCAAGATATTTACACTGTGCCACAGCAAGGGCCTAATTTTTAATGATGTGTGTGAACAACTCTGTGCCTAGTTTGCATATGCATGCAGATTAGGTATTTGTGAAATAAGTGGTATAATTGGACATTTGCACCTGCAAATATCTAATTTGTGCATGCAACTAATGTTAATGCATGATAATATAGCAAAAATCAGGTCTTGATATGTTTTTTAAGTATATTCTGTGTCTATCTGGCTAAAAATCAAACTGCACAGATTCTCTTTATAAACTGACTGCCCTAAGAACCAGAATGTGATTAACATTCCCCTGAACCCAAGGTCACACCCCACACCTACAAATGATCTGTGCCCCTTCAGCTCAGACCCTGTGCCTGTTTCAGATAGCTGTATGTAGTAGATACATTCAATTCCCTCTTCTCTCTTCATACTACTCCTGTACTGTCTCAGCTCTCCCAACTATCCCTCTAAGTAGCCACAAATGAAGGGTCATTATTTTGAGAAACTGATCTGCAAATCTTTGTCTTTAGCACCAATTGTATATACCACTTGTAACATGTACTTTTGAAAATTGGAGTGGTGTCTTCTCAGACGTGTTAGTCTAGTCTCCTATTTCAGAGCACTTTTTTAAAGGTGTTCAAATTTTCATCTCAGTTGCACCAATGACTTCAGTCATGCTAACTATTTTGAATTTCTCGTGAACAAAATACACACATGTTCAAATCTGCACTTCTCTTGGCAACCATTATGTTCTTAGGGGTTACATGTGCTTACTACCTCACCCTGCTGGACACTGCACCCTATTTATACTCACACACAAAAGAGCAAAGCCACAGAAAAAGGCGGAAGCTCTGAGAATGAAGACCAAACTGAGAGTAAGCCGGGGAATCCAAGTCAGAGAGAAAACTGGAACTGGTTAGGACAAACCCACATTTTAATAGGGCAACAGAGTCCATATGGAGATCAGAAAATAATAGGTATAAATAGAGGATGGATTTTAGAGAAGTATCTATGGAGCAATCTCACTAAATGATCAGTAAATTCAGAAGATGGGCTGATGTAAGAGGTTAACTGGCTAACTCGCTCATCCTGTTGGGCAGTTTAGCTCATCAACAGAAGCTGCTGTTGTCACTCTTGTTAACTGCTTGTGAGTATTCAACACATCTATGGGTACATGGCCTTACTAATAAAAATTGTCAGCCTTAGCTAAAGGCTTCTGCTCAGGAGCTGAATTAGATCTCATTTTATCAATAATAAAGGCCCAAGTCATGTTTTTGCTAACTAAAAGCACAAATCCCAGTCAAACTTATTGGAATTGGATTTTAGCTAAGACTTACCTCCCATGTTAACGAGAGACGGCTCACAGCAACATTACTCAGTCCCATAATAATAGCAAAAAAGGAATTCAGATTTTTGTATTCTTTACAGCTGAAACACAAAGGGCTGGGTTTAAAGTTGGATTTATCAGTCAGGACAGGAGTACACATGACAACCCAAAGAGAGCTGAACCCAGGTGTCTAGCATAGATGTGACTGAATTTGGGCAGCCCTGGACAGCACGCCTGCGGCACACCACTTCACCGATGTGTGAGTAATTCACCATACTCTGGAGGCTCCTTTCCCCTCCCTCCTAAAATGACCTCCTGCTTCAACTTCACTGGATGCCAGCTTCTGCAGGACATTAAAGGAGTCTTTGAAGTTCCTCCCCACCCAGAAACACAGTCCTGAAACTGGGCTCAATTCAGTCCCCGGGAATACCAGAAACAGTGGAAGCAACTGGTTTACAACCTCATTTGCTGCAGAACTTGCTGACAGCTTCTGAACAGCTACTGAATGCTGGAAGCTGTCCCTAGACAATCCTCATCACAGTTTACAGGGGCACCAAGTATTTTTAAAAGGAGAAGACCAGCTGTCTAGAGATGCCTGTGTGCCAGTGACCTCTCTCGCCGTATATGATTTCTAACTTCTAGATTCTGGAACTCTTTAGGATGTTTCAAGCAAAGAACTGCTGCTTGTTACCACCATCATTAAAGAGGTCCTGGGTACTAGGAGCTCTAGGTCGTGTTTCATCCCTAATGCAAAGGAGAACTTTTGTCACCAAGAAAAACTGAAACGTGTAACTGAGTATTACGGAAGATCCAATACACCACATGCAGGAGTAGATACAATCTGACAGGAACAGCCCACACAACTGCTCAGCTGGGACTGCATCAGGTGGCTCAGCGACTCAATGGGAAGGGAAGAGAGAGAACAGAGCCTAGATCTCATAAATCTGTGTCTCACTAGGTTCCTGCAAATAATTTGCTATTTTTCACAATTGATTTGCCAACATCTGATTTCAGAACCTCAGATAGACTTTTTTATTCATCGCTAAAGCTCTTAGCTCCTCTAAGGCATCCTCAGCTCCAGATGAAATTAGTACAATCATCACATCCTACTGTCCAACTCCATAATTGCCACATCACCCTATTGTTATTCTGTTCTTTCCGTCTCTCCGTTTCACCAGACTCAATGTATTGAGTGGGTAAGTCCTTTAGATCCAGGTCTCACTTGTGTCTGCACTGTGTGAACACTGAGCACGTGAATAAACAATCTCTCCCATCTGATGGTCTGTCTGTTGGAGACTGCTGCCCCCTCAGATCTTCTGGCAGAGCTGCTAGTACAAATTCTCCCACATCAGATTAGGGACAGTGTGCAAGGTTAGCAAAGATAAACTGAAACACTAAAGCCCCCCCCCGCCCTATTCTGACTAGAGCATGTCAGGGAGTGCCTTGTTAGTGGATCTGACGGGAGATAAGGATGAAAAGCAGCCAGGATAGGCTGTCAGGGATAACCTCTTCCCCAGGCACAACTAAATCCAGAAAGGGATAGCTGTGCCTGTGACATTGAGAATAAATTGCAGCGTGGTAAAAATAATTAGTACAACACAGCAGTAGTGCTCAAACATAGTAGGCAGCTGCAAATGTATCTGCAATATGTAATTTGAATCTATCTTTCATTTCAAAAAGGAAGTGTTTTGCCAAATACCCTATTAAGCAATGTAATTTGACAAAGTCCCTGTTAAAATACATCTAGATGTATGACATTCTACACCAAATATTTCGTAAATTCTACAGGCTCTACACTAAATAGCTCAGTTCCAGATAGGGGACCACTGTAAGGAAGGAGAAACAGTGCTGCATGGCTCCACTGCATATTTGCTGCCTGTAAAATGTCAGAAAGCGGATCCTCCAAAGCACCACAGTGTGCAAAAACACACAGGTGGTTAAAATCTCTTTGGTACTTACACGAGCATATTCATCTTGGCATTTTCCCTGTAAACATACACCCTTCAAAAATTTCTCACAAGCTCCTTGGGCTTATAACATATGCATGTGTATGGAAAGCATGATTTTCAAAAACTGAGTGAAACTGTCTGATTATAGTGATACACAAGAAGGCCTCTAAATAGCCTGTGGGTATATCTGCAAAGAGGAAATATATAGAAACTGGGTTTGTGGATATCCATAAAAGTATGTGCAAGTAGAAGGCCTTTCTAATACAATTAATGTGGGAAGAACTCCCTGTAGGAAATATAGTTCACTTCTCCCCTTTGTTTGAAAGTTTAATCCTACAATGGCTGGAGAAAAGAGATGAACCTGGTAACCTCTACATCCTTTCCTGGCAGATGCAAAGGCATCTCCTGGAACTGGAAGCACACGTGCACAGCACTTGGAGCCGGCACTTGGCCTTGTGCTTGGCTGCACAGACAGGGAGCGCACATCACAGGGTGCGTGGGGTGGCAGACACAAAATGATGTGCCTTCTGCAATATCATCTGAGCCCCTCGTCACAGAACTGAAACAGGGTTCTCAGTGACGGTTATCTTTGAAAATCGGTACGTGCAAGGCATCTTGTTACCACCAGTCATGCCGAAGATTAATAGTGCAGCACTGAGCTCTTCTCCCTGAACACTTTTCTAATGAGTCTAGTACTTCTAGGTAGGGTAAAGTTCCCATTAGGTCTCAAGGATCTTCACAAGCAAAACTTCCTCAAAGATATTGCTTCAAGGCCTGGGCCCGTGTGTTTTGATCCAATTTCTTGGCTTTTTCTCCCCTCTAACTTCGGTGCACTTTGTGTTTGTTTTACCACAGGCTGTAGCACCTGTTACCATGGCAGCACTGCACAGAGGGCAGCAGCCTGGCAAAACTTCCCAGCGCCTTTCCAGCAGCTGCAATTAAACCTGCCCGCTTGGTTTGTACGGAGGAAAATCTTGTGCTTCAGATTTGTCCGCTTTTAGGAGACAAAGAGGACTCAGCAGAGCAGACCGCTTTTAGCTATTTATTTTTAGCGTTGTAGTGATACCAGAAACATGGAAGTAAACAGGAGGTTGTCAAGCTGTTGCAAATAGCATAGGATTAAACCCATGACACTGAGGAACCCACGGGCTAGGGCAGTTTATTAAGGAGATATTTATCTGTAATTTTTAGGATACTTGATTTCAAGTGTTTATGGAAATTGCTATTATATCTTAATTTACCACATTTCAACATTTTCCCATTTCATGCCTCTGACTTTAGAAAAGACCCTGACGCGTCTGTGCGTGGGTGCCACTGCCCTCTCCTGGACAGAGCCCGCCAGGCTGATGACTTGCTTCCCAGTCGCGCTCTGTGGAATGAGATAATGGAATAAGCGGCATAGCTATTTTTAGAAACTAAAGAGGTAAATTCTGTCCTCTGTTCTGAGTATAAACCTGATCCTGCATGCCTACCACTAGGTTTTGAGAATCTTCAGCTTCGACCAACCGTAATCCGACCGGAGGGCCCAAAGCAGTTCCCAGAGGGAAGAGGGTACTTGCAGAGGGGGGCTTTTCCCACAGGAGGGAGGCACGCTGATGCAGAGCTCCAGTGTGAACACGGATTTCAGCGATGTGGAACTATTAATTGGGAGGAGGGCAGCATCACAGCTGTAATAGTAATCTCTTCTTTCACACAACTACATTTAACGATGCAAAAGTTAAAAACGCCATGGTGCAACTGCAGGTAATAACTTCTTTGTTCAGACTGCCTAAAGGCCTCTAGTCACAACGCCCAAAGTTGTAGGCAAACACTTAAACAGGCACTTCCTCACTACACACCTCTCTAAACTGTTTGTTCAGACAGTGATGGATGTAATAAATACACCACCAACTGGAAAGGAAGGAAGAGGGTAACAGTGATAAAAAACTTCATCAATGCAGGGCTGGGGCATGCCCCTGCTCCCTCTGAAGTCAGTCACACCCTTGCCCTCGACTTCAGTGATACGGAGTCAAGGCCAACATCTTTGGCTTGAAGGCGACAAAGACTTCAAGTTTTCATACTAATGAAAGAATAGAAGACAGCAAGAATTGCCTGCTATCCAACCTCAGGCCCAGCAGTTAGTAACAAAAAAGGACATTCATATCGTTGCATTTTTAAACAAAAGTATTAGAAAAATATCCCAAGCAGACTGAAGGTAACATGAGCCTCGTCATCTCCATACTACATCTCTTTGCTCTTGCCTCTGAGAATGGTTTTCCTGAACAGCACCAGAAATAATTCTCTTCTCAGGAAAATTAAGGCTCAGATTTGTTAATATTTAATAATTTGCATATTAATATTTCCCAACGCGTGTAAGGCTAAATGAAGGGTTCTCCTAATGAACTGAAACATATTTACTTACAAATTTGATGTGAAAACACAGCCCTAAGAGATCACAGATCAAGGAACAATGGCGAATAGGACAGGAAAGAAGAATATATATTAACAAGGTTCTGTACAGCCCTTTAAGGAAATGGACAGAATTACCAAGCAAAGAGCATTTTAACCTCTACTATGTGTGGCTGTCTGAAAATAAAAAATAAAAAAACCCTATAAATTGACTGTACTGAACCTCATTTCCAGCTCACAGATGATTGTATACTTACTGGGCTGCTATCTTAATATACTTCTTTAACAGCTGAACACGCTTGCTGAGTTGAGAGCAAAGACAAATCTCAGTGACCACCCAGAATTGAATTTCATTAAATCTTCTTAAAAACAAGTCCAGATTTGCTGTGGTCTTTTTAAAATTGTGCCTTCCAAAAGTGTGGTAGATCAATTCCAGCTAGGAAAAAGAAAACAGTTGGGGATTATTTTTTTTTAGAAATCTCATCTTTTGGACAGAGGAAAGAGACTAAGAATGACCAGGTAAGTATCTAGCCTGAAACTGGCTCTGCAGTTTATGTTTATTGTTGTATATATGACAAGGATTCAGGTTGCAAATCCAGTAGGCAATAGCTGAGGCATAGTAAAAGCATAACTACAGACTATGTATAAATAGGTCGAAACCTTAAAACACACAAAAGTAACTCAATAAGCAGCACATGTTCAGGAGAAGTTAAACTTTATTTTCGCATTTTGCCTATAAAATTAAGAATGCCTTAAACTTCCAAAACTTGTAGGTGGCTTTATTGTAGTATTTTTGAAAGTCAAGCTCAGAGAAACTTTTGCAGATAATGCAGAAGCTTTAAATGTACAAGTAAACATTTTGCAACAGATTCTAATCTGCTGAGTAGATGGATCCTCATACCTCATGCACACAGTTGAAAAGCTCCCAGTCATAAATTGTCATCTGATGTGCTAGGTCTTTGGAGCTCATCAGTTCAAATGTTCCCACTGTACCAGTAGATGGTCCTTCTTGTTCTGGTAATGGTGCCTACAAATGGAAAAATGGTATAAAAATATGTTAGAAATACTAAATTGCATGATTGGTGCTTTTCTTCCATAATATTTCTGATTTTTTTTTTCAGTGTGATCACTTTCCTAAGCATATTTCTAATAGTAAAACTGAAATTTGCTTTTAATCACAGGCTGGCATTAGGAAATGAGAAGCCCTGTGCAAAATCAGTATCCACTATGCACAGGATAGTCAGGAAAATTCTGAAAGCTTTTCAGAGGCACTGTAAGGAAATAAAACAGACTGTTCTCAGTGTGTTATTTTTAGCATTGTTCCAAAATTTGAAGCCAGAAATAAATACTTCAATACACCTTGTGCTAACTAAAGCATGTCTGTTTGTTTAGGACCATAGGTCTTTCCACAAAGCTTTTGTTATCAGTTTCCTTTTTCACTTACACAAATAACTAGGCCACAAAGCACAAGCCAAATACTTTTCCAAATTACTGATTCTAATGATGAGAATTACTACATCTGCCATACTAGAGAAATCTGCAGTGATTGCAAGATCTTCTGAACATTTATAAAATAAGCCCCATACTTTCTCCTTGACAGTACAGGAGTGCACTATTTGTGATAGCAAAACTTCTGACTACGCTAATTAAAATTATACGCACACAGTCTTATGAGAAAGAATCCTTTAAATCATTCAAGTATAAAACATTTTTGAAAGACACTTCCACACCACCCAATAAATGAGATGTGATCTACAGTTTTGCACACAAGTAAATCTTATATTAAAGAGAGGTTTAAAACATGGCTTGAGATGAAGCCAGATTTGAAGCAGTCTGTTGTATATATTACGGTCAAAGTGTTCGAATCAGCACTGCTAAAATACTACCAACAAATCCTCTTGCAAACTCAATGAGTTACATCAGTAAAGCTTCCCGTGAACCCACGTTTTAATTGTTTTGTTTCCAGGAGAGGGCAGTAGAGTTCACTTACAAGTTTCTCAATTTCTCATAGGGTCTTTGTTAGATAATTACAGAGCAGGGAATTGCAACAGGCTCTTTTCTGAGTTACAAACTCAATAGAGTCTGCAAAATCAACAGACCATATTTACACACTGCAGTATCAAAAATGAGCTTACTAAATGAATCCCCTTTCGTATAAGAACATTATATTACCAATAGAAAAAGGACTGACTAGATTAATACATCAAGTCACTTTCTCAGTAACACACAGTATGTAGGAGCTTTATTTCTGTACGAGTTCTTGCTTTGTACTCTAGGGAAAACTTGTCTTTCAAATATCATCATAACACAAACTAATTAAAAATAATTAATCTAACCCACGGGCATTACTACCTTAAAAGCTCCACCTACAATTTTAAAAAACAGTATATATAAGAAAAGTATTATCTAAAAAAATCAGGACAGCCATCAATCTTATAACAGCCTGCAGATTGCTCTGAATTGGGATTTGCACAAACACAAAATGTATTTAGTTTAAGACAGAGTATGAATTAAAAGTAGAGCAGTTTTGTGTAGAAAACCCCAATTTGTAGAAATCCGTGGAAAAAGAATTGCCCACAGACTGAAAGAGGGCTTTTTTCCCCTGTTTGGAGACAAACGCAACATAGCTGTTACCATAACAAACACATATTTTTCAAGGCTAGGAAAGAAGCACTTAGATGTAAAGTCATTGCATATTTGAAAATTCATCCAACCCAGAACAATTTTCACATGGGAATTGCCCAGTGTAATGTGAATATTTGTACATGCACAGGCAGCAGCCAGAAATTGGAACGTGAAAAGATTAAACTGGAAGGGAGGTAAGGTTGTAATGTTTTTCAATTTGTTTATACCTCTTTGAAAAAATGCAGCTGATAAGGGGATGTACTCTGTTATGCAGCGCTGAGAACCTTTTTAAAGGCGCTGAGTGTTCCTCCCTAATTCCTGGTGAAGTCAGTCCACTTGATGAAAACCAGCACATTGCAGCCCTGTATCTTAGAGCTCCCTGTAGCATTTCGAGTACTTGATCCATGGGAAATAGCACAGGGAAAAGGCACAGAAAGTCACTACAATTTGCTGCCAAAGGTCTGCTACACAGACAATGCAGAGCCATATGAAAGTACCCAGCGTAGCTGCACTGACGCAACACCCCTGCTTTAGAGTAGCATGCCCCATGAGGGTATCTACTTGGCTGGATTAATTAACCTTAAGGGAACACCAGAATTTGATAAACTGAACAAGAGGTATCTCTGCATGGAACTACAGTACGCTGGATGTGCATTCCCTGGTTACTAAATTGAAAGCAGCAGCAAAGCATAGATTTTACCATATCTATAAAAGAAATCAGGCATACATACTAAGTGGCTTGTTAAAAGCATACAGAAGGCTGAAACAAGGCTAGGAGTAATAGAGTTCATGCTGACATGACTTGGCAATGACATTTGTTTTTAATGAAATAAAAGGAACAAAAAGTACAGTCAAATCAAACTCTATAAAAGCAGACCCCATGGAGATCGTTAGAATTACTGTAAGTACTTATGAACAATTCTACTTAAGAAAAAACAGACTTTCTACCAGGAATATTTTCTGTGATTCTACTTAGAACTATCTGAGATCTTGACACAGTATTTTGTGTGGCTAAGAAAGAAAAGATTTTAAGGAATTTACTGTTGGAATCAAGTCTCCAGAATGCTTTAATTGGTAACATCTATCTTCAACAATATATCCCTGTGGCCTTGAGGAAATAACTCTGCAATCAGGAATTACTGCGTGTCTTAGTGACAATATTCAGCTCTTCCTATATGCTCAGTGTGACACAGAGAATACTGGGGTCAAATGCTGTCATGTGGATCAGACGGATTTCTGCTCTAGTTTTGGAATCTATAACATTACTTGTTTTAATTCCAGGGCTCATCCCATAGCACTGAGACAAGCTCTTTGTTGTGAATGTTTCCACTAGTTCTTACCTAAAGCATCGATAATGCAAAAAGAGCCAAGTGTTCAAATAAACTGAAGAAATGAACTTTCTGAGAACTGCATACATACATACCAATGAATCGAACTGATCACGTGGGCAAGCAAACAGCCGTCCATTAACACTGAGAGTTGTAAACACTGAAACATCATGAGGTTTGAGCACAACCTTTTCTGTAAACATGAAACAGAACATTGTTTATTATATACATGTAGAATTTACAGCAGGACTGATCCAACAGCTGTACGGATCGCCCTCCTGGGAACAAATTTTGCACAGTAAACCAATGTCCAGGATACCCAATAGATGACGAGAAGGACCCCTCTATTGAAGAAATGTGACAACAAGCTCAGCCCAAACCAGTCTCCTACAGATCTGGCACACAGAACTGGAATCCTAGCGCCAAACTGTACAGAGAGGTCAAGAAGCCTGTGCTGCCATCTCTAGAAACTACCTGCAAAAATTCAGCCATAATTAGGGACTCCATTCATTCTTCTCTGAGCTGTAAGCATTTTGAGAGCTGTTCTTAACAGAAATTGCCTTGGAAGACAGTAACTGCACAAGGAGGTGATGAAATGCAACTGTATTCAAATCTCATTACAGCAGTTCTAAAAATGCATCACATCACAGGTAAAGAAAAGATAATGAAGTAACTTACAAAACCTTCTCTTCCAGCATGCGCTGGCTGTCAGCAAATCTGACAATAAAAATTTGCTGCAACTGCAAAAAGTACACCCGCCTGGTGTCAGTTCTCAGGAAGTGAGCTGTTCTTGGCAGGCATCAGTGTTTGCAAAAATGCCTTCCAACACAGCTCTCATTAGCTCTGTGTGTGTCCACACAGTCACACTCAACCAGAGCTCTTCAGCAACACCAATTCTCCAGTCGAATTCACCTTGCAGTTACTCTCCCATTTCCACAGCCCATAGTGGGGGGCTGACTCCTGAGCCTTGGCCAGCACTAGCCAGTGGGCTTGGCACTAAGTTGCTCAGTAGTGGTTTGCATGGACAGAGCCGCCAGAATGGTAGTGACCACTACTGGAACATCTGCACTGCAGTGTTTTCTGCTGTTGCTGATTCATTTGTCTAGCCTGACATTATCCATGCTTACCTCCTATGCCTGTTGTTAAAAAACTCTTACAAGTCTTACAGTGAAGGAAATGGGGCAGCTCTGCTCTGCAACATGCAGATACACAAGCTTCTCTATTTTTCCCATCTTCCATTTGAGCTCCAGTCTGTGCCTCCATAGGGAAAGGACTTGGGTCTAAGACAGAACCTGTGTACCAGCTGAACATGCACATGGATATAAAAGGCTCGACTGAATTAATCTTTCAGTCCCTCCTGACATTCTGCTTCACGGTGAGATGCGTTTAACATGATGCAAATACAGTACCTCCTCCTGAACTCATCTTTACTATGATGAGGCCTTCTCCAGAACCCAGCTTATCTGCTACTGCGCTGATCACTTCCTTCACAGAGGAAGACACTGGCACCCGGATAGTGGTATAGGTTTGGTCTATGCAGTACACCTTAAACAGAACTAAAGAAAAAAGAGATTGCGCTGCGTATGCCATGTGCAACAACCACAGAGACTTTACTGTACAAATTATTCTCACTTCAGTAACCGCTCCTCACAAATGAAACAAATAAAGCAACAATAAACCACTACAGTTTTGATAGCTCCCCATTCCTCAGATATTCTACAACTTTTAGTACAGAAATCTCTGATTTTTCAGAGATTTTAGTAAACCTTGAAGTACTAGTGTTTCAGTATTGCCACATTATTTATGGATGCCAGTTTAATCTGGCACTTTGTTATGTTCCAGTCATTATAATATTTTAAATCAACACTTCTTTTCACCAGTCAGGAAAACTGGCTGCAAACTCTCTTAATTACAGGAAAATACTTTTCATATTTACAAAATAGATTTGAAAATCATTTTGGTTACAATCAGAACTTAAATCAAACCGTGTTGCAACCATTTTTTACAAGCAAGTATATAATTGCTGAATCAAGAATGTTATAGATGATAAAGAAAAATACCCTAATAATAAGAATACACTTGAGTGTACAGTACAACTTGGCTCGCAGAGTAATACATGAACCCAGGCCTCTGGCTGCCTAGAAATCAATATGATAGTACATTAGCTTGCCAAAAGCAAGGCAGCACAAAGTGACATGGATTTAAGACAGAAGTTAGCAAAATACTCCTTCAGCTCAGCTATCAAGCCAAGCCAAGCAGCCCCTGATGTTACAGCTGTCCATGGATTTTCAACGTTCAGTGTGCTGCCTGCCCTACGAATGAGAAAGGTGCAGCCATACGAAAGGGGCCGTTACTGCCTGTCCACACAGACACAAGTAGTACTTCCCTGGCAGCAGCAACTGTTTCGCTCTTTGTAGACCTAGAAAAAACACTGATATGGACAACAGAAGCTGCATGCCTGGCAGGACGTCTGCTGTTAATATGCTGTTACTTCCAGCTTTTGAAATGGCTCTTCCATTGGTTTGATTTATGCCACCAGCTTTCTCAGCTATATGACCTTCTGTTTTGTTCCCTTATTTTTACCATTGTTTGCTAGCAAGAGCTATCCTTTAATATCAAACACCTTGAAGCAGAAGCTATTTTCTGTAATGAAGATGCACCAAAACAACCATTGAGAGACTGGCCCTACCAGTTGCAAAGAAATCCTCAGATTTATGCGTTTTAAGGGGCTGTTCGTTGTTTACAATGAACAGCTCTGGTCAGCAGAGCTCAGGATTTTGTTCACATAGCAGTGGTTCGGCCTGCCTGAAATAAAGGACATTATGAAAAGCCAATACAACTGAAAATGATATTCTGATACACTGCCATGAATTTTACCTTCATCTCTTCAGAGAATCAAACAATAGCAATAGGGCAAATCAGCGGATTTTGTTTTCTAGGCTGTGTGCCACAGGGCAGCAATCCATGGCATGATTATCTGCTCCACTCCTATCTTGCAAAGGAACAGCTGTACATGTTAGCTCAAGCTACGTACAGAGGCTCAAACATGACCTTCAGCACCCACTATTTATTGCACTGCCATTACCTGCACGGACACTGGCTGTACTGGTTCTTACCTGTTTTGTTCATTCCTTATTTAAAGGTTTTTACACCTTCTTCTGAGGAAGCTAAGTGTTTGATAGCACAAATAATTGAGGGAAAAGACCAGGGGCACTTCAAATCAATGATGGAGAATGTTGGGCTGGCAAAAGCAAACAGAGTTTGCTTTAGGCCAAACTTCAAAACTGTAGGTAGGTAGTTTTGTTTTTTTTTTTTGACCGTTTTTTTTTTAGAGAGAGACAAATTTACTGCAGATCTCAGTGGCTCAAGAAAACTTTGCAGAGAAGGAACTCACCTTCATCGCTGCCCCTGATAGGCTGGCGTTTCTGTGCTCTGTCATCGCTTGTGTTGAACAGCTGCAGAAGAACTTTGTGCTGAAAATGAATCATCAAGGTTCACATTAATGCAAAAAGAAACATTATGGGGCAGACATGAACTACAATAGCTCTCTTATCAATGGCCCCAAAAAGAGTAGTAATGCAAAACTTGACAATGTTAAAAGCTATTTCTCAATGTGTTGTTTTAATATATCCACGATTACCAAAGAGAAGACGCTTACAGATTTGCTGTGCTAAAGCTTTCACTTTAGAAAATGGACAAATAGATCATCTTACCTTCTTTTGTGGTGCTTTAGGTTCTTCAGAACTATAAAAAGGTAAAGCATAGAATATATAATTAAATATTACCCAGAAGATTTTGTGTACAAAATCACCTATAGAACATGGCCACTTGCCAAACTACATTATTGACATATTCATGTTTGCATATATGAAGAGAAGACTATATGATACCATAGTTAGTCTATGACCAAGGCAGGGAAAATACTTTACAAAGTCCATGTAAGCACGAAATAAGCATCCAATTTAGTTTCAGAGGTGTGTACATAATTTCTTATTCCTTCTGTTTACCTTTGAATGAGAGTTTGGTGTTTGCAAGAATGACGTGGAAAGAGAGGGCCATACACATTCATCCAAACAAGCTTGCATGCAAACCTTCAGTCTTCTATGACAGAGTGCCATTCATAGAATGTATTTTTAATAGGTATAAGCAATAAATTTTCTTCATCTATTTACTGAGGAAAAGGGTGGGGGGAGGAAAGAAGCAAAAACTGTGCTTACACTTGCTTTACAATTTTCTCAAGCTCTGGAAGTTGCTCCTTTAGTGCTGCAATCATTCTAGTATCATCTGATACAGACACATAAAATTCCTGTAAATGATACAGAATAGTTTTAAATAACTATAGGGGTAAATGAGCAGTACTCAGGATAGAGGATTATGACATGATATCTGATAGCTTAATGACTACGAAGAATGATAATCTGCATAGAAGAACACATGCTGTGCCCAACCCTCCATTACTTCTACTTGTTTATCTCCAGCTGATTTAAAGGAAGAGTTACACATGCGAAGGGAAGCCTGATGAGGCTCCTTAGCTTGCTGTGTAACCGCTGACTGCTTGTGCGAAAAGTGCATTTTCAGATTATCAGGGATAAAGACTATAAAATTCACAAGTAATCTGGCATAATAGGTTTGGGGTTTTTTTACTCACCACTGTTGTTAGTCCTTAGTGCTTCATTTGCTACTTGGTTATTGACTCCCAGATACTCCAGTTTGCTACTGTATTACCCTCCCTTAAACCCTACTCAAACCTCTTCCTGCCACAGTTTCAAGCTTTTTGGGGCAAAAACTTCCATTCTGCCAGTAACACATGGGATTGTTTTCCATAAACATAACATATAATAATAATGGCATCTTTTCTTGGAAATACAAGGATATGGCACCAACCACAAAGACCTTACAACCAATGTCTGAGGAATTAAGTTATTTTAAGGGATCAGAAGGGTTCTGATGACAAAGATCTTAAATTCCAACAGCTGCAGTACAGCTTTCATTCAAATGGAAAGGATTTTTGGTTTTGTAGAGTGAGAACCCTCCAGCTCCTTCCTGGCACATCTCAGGCAGGCATAAACAGCCCCTCGATTCAACCTGTAGAGCTTCTGAAATATTCAGAAGAAAATACCAAACCCAGCAAATTCATCTATAGCTTTAAAGCAATCTACCCACACAGCACTTTGAAAGGGGTCTGCAACTCTGGCAGATATTTTCAGAGGTCCAGAGGCTGACAATGGTTCAAGCACTGTCCCAGCACGTACACTGTCTGCAGCTAAAACTGAGAAAACAGAGTTATGAGTTTGCCCTTGGAAATGACCCACTTCTCTTTAGTTCATAACAGAATTCCACAGGCTGGGAACAGGCTTTCAGCTTATCTTGCTTGGTAGGTACTTTTCAGTACAATGGCACAACAATTCCTTTATACCTCCAAAAAGGCCATTGCTGCTTCATCTTCTTGTAGTAAATCTCCATATAAAGCAGCCCACTGCAGAACCAGTCGAATGACTCGCCTTTTGTTGTTGAGGGCATAATCCATTTTCTCCTGCTCTGTACCCTGGGAAGGCTGGGCATGATAGGTGCCACGGTGTCAAGGAAAATGCTCAGTGATTGAAAATATCAAAACCAGTACGAACTCACAAACAACTGACTTCCAACAAACCATTTTCAGGGTGTTCAAATATAACTTCCCGATATATACTTCTGATTTCTGACTGCTGCTAGCATAAAGACTTGCGAACCTTTCACGTTCATACTAAAAAGTAAAAAGACAGTGAATTCTCTAAAGAGTGCAGGAATGATCACAATCCCACCACAGAGACGGTTGCTGTAGGGGAGCAGAACAGAAATGACACTTGGAATAATAGAGAAGAGGATTAACTGTGGAGACTGAAGAAGGATATTTCTCCTTGTTCTTCTTTGAAGACGGTTGAAGAAAAAGAAAATGTCACTTTGTGTTTATTAACAATTCCAGTCTTCCATTTTTGAGGAAGACTACTGGAATGAACCCCAAGTGTTACCCCTTTTATTTTCAGAAGTTACTGTAACCCCAGATGAAAACCTCAGTCCCATTATGGTAGGGGGACCTGGAAGTTTACAGCCTAGACTGACTATAGAGACATGAGGTAAAACAATAAATTCTGTAGTAGCCTCATTTTACATATGAGGAAACGACAAGTTTCCACTCTATCAAATAAAGTGTATTTGGGACACAATACTTTGTGATAATTATTTGTGATAAACAATAGTAAAAAATGGGAAACATTTCACTGATTTTTTTCATAACGAAACGTCAACATTACAAAAATATGCAAATAGCAAAAAGACCAAAAGTAACATTTATTGAAAGGAAGAAACCAAGAAAAAAGTAAAGCACAATGGGCAATAAACTGAGATAATTTCAGCCTTTTAACCTTTGCAAAAAGAAGAATCCCCAGCAGAAACAGCATATGACAATTTGTGTGCCTGCTTCTCACTGATCAGATGTTAACAACACATATTTAAACTGTTTCCCAATAACTGATGGCTGAATGTGAAATAAGCACAGAATGACTGCAGTTACATCTTCAACTTTTCTTCCCAGATACCAAAATTCTGATTCTGGATTTTCATGAATAATACTATTCCCAATTATATAGCAATGATTAATGTTAAAATACTGACATTCTTTCACTCACAGTGAAGTCCAACATCCTTTCAAGGTGCACTTTCATTTGGCCTAACAAAAGATTTTAAAATATTAATTAGAAATCAAAATTATCTGAGATATTTATTTTCAGTTTCTCATTTACAAGCATTTCTCTAACAAATGCTAACATACTTTATACTAATAAAATATAATGGGAAAAAGTATCAATTAACTCACACTTTCCAAATGATCTTCCTGCCCAAAACCCCTGCAGAGATTTGACATGCTACTAGGGTTACTGGGGCATTCATTTCACTGACAAACTTTTAGAAATCTGCATTTTAATTTCATTCAGAAAGGTTTAAAATTACTAGAGAACTAAACATGCCTGTACGTTTATGGGAGTAAGTAAGTCAGAGGGTCAGAAGAAGTAAATAACATATGGTAAGCTATATGCTCTAATGTCTCAGGGAGCAACTTTAATATTCTACTGACTCATTTTTCTTATGCCATTTTTACCTTTCAAACACTGAAATTATTTCATGTATTTTTACTTTCTTATTAACTGACTCTCCACAGGCACCGGTAATTTTTCTGTATTTTTACTGCTCATTTATATTAATTGCTCTTTCATTAACATTATCACAGGGAAAGTCAATGAAGGGTTCTCCTATTTTTACAGGACCTACAGGATGCAGCTTCACTGCAGACTGCAATCGAAGTAAAATATCATGTATACTTGCAACAAGTGTCAGATAATTGTAAAATATTTATCAACATCAACATGATTAGAGTTCAATATATATATTTCTAATTTATGTCTGGCATATGCTAGGAAATTGAAGCAATTCTGAAGTCTGTTCTTCCCTGCGTGGGAACACTTAGCCATATCAGGAGCTGTGCAAAATCAGCACCCATTACTACAGTAGAACACAAACTATTTTGCTGGCATGACGGTAAAGGTTCACAAAACATTCATACAGAAACATGCTAAAGGATGTTAGCAAAAGAGGAGCGAAGAGGAGAGCAAATGAGGAGTTTATACTTCGTAAATATTTAGACAGTGGTCCTTTAAAGATGCACACCTGCACACGTGCTCACACACTTGCACTATACCAAGTGCACTTTTGGAGGTGCTACTCTATTTCAAGTCTTCTTTTGGACTTTGTCCTGCCTCCCTCTCACAAGCTGTAGCTCTGAGAATTTGTCCATTTCCATCCCTGTGAAGAAGAGAGGGAAACAGGGGCCTTGGTCCCACACACAGGGCTGCTGTCCTGATCCAGGACAGGGGAGCATGTCCTTTGCTTCCCTATAAAAAAGAAGTATGTGATTTCCTTGATATTCCCGGATCCATACACTTTAATGACTAAAAAAAAAAATGGTGTGCCAAGGGACAGCACAATACAAACACCGAATCCACAGCAAGCAATAATGTTACTTAGCTGGAATGGTGTACCTGTCCGTTCCTTTCAGGATTAAACAACTTACAGACAAGAAAATGTCCCTGTAAAAGAAGTGAAAACCCAAATAATTTATACCTTGTACTATATTTGAAAGCACTACTGTGGTCTAGCTCTACTCATACTTGCATGCTGCCAGCTAAAGTGTTATCCTAAGTGGGTGTAGGAAAATAGACTTATATTGATTCAAAATTGGGAGCTGGAGCAAAACCAGTGTCTCTGACTGAATCACCTTTCTTCTTTTTCTTTTTCTGTTTTAGTTTCCTCACTGAGCATAACTAATCTCTCCTTAGTCTCACAGCACCGGCAAACATTTTTGTAGAATGATTTTGCTAAAAAAGATAAGCTTTTTTAGCAGCCTTTCAACTCTAACAATAAATTTCAATGGTACAATCAACAGAGCACAGTTTGATTTTCCATATTCAGAATGGACCAAATAAACAATAATTCAGCTCTAGGAAAAGCTGACACTAAAGCAGTGGGATACCAGTTACTTCCAGCCCTCCTCCTCCTCTCTGAAAAGAATTAGCACGATGCCTGCCATGACCCACTTAAGACCATGGTCTTAGCCTCCTCTCCAGAATAGATTTCATCACAAGTGAATACATACACATAAGTGCCACTATCACTTTGATCTTCAGAAAAGCTTTTCCCCTATGAACAATGAGGTACATTTTGCTTATGCATCTGATTTTCTCAGTTGTTGGATATCAGAGGTATACTATTAAAACTGAGGATACACAAGCCCGAGTCTCAAGTAGGCCGATTGAACAATAAGAGCTAGATAAATCAGAAAAAAAAACAAACCCAAACATAGAAAGTGCTGTCCTTTTCTTCCCCTCTCAAAGCTGTCAGCAACAGCATTTCATAATACGTTTGATATCCAAAACTATGTGGTTTTGGAAAATGTCTTTGTTTCAGGTATACGAACAATTTTCTGCAGACCAGTTTTATGGGTCCAAAGGTTTTCAAAACAATTACTGTCTTTGCTTGGAGTAACACAAATGGATTCTCAAGCTTGCCAGAAAAGGACACGATGCTCTATTTTGTGGTTTCAGGGTGTTAGCTTTCCCAGATGTCACTCGCCCTGCTGAGCTTCAAGGAAAGCACACTTTCACACCAATCTGATTCTAAAAAAATAAATAGGGAATTGAAGTTATTATACCCCTGTCAGAACTCTATAAAACAGAAAACATTATACGTTTATTTAATGCTCCCAGTCACTTGATAGCTTCGAGTCACTGCGCACAAGGAAAACTCTCAGTGCCCAACAGCTCCCCAAACTAAATGACCTGCCAGTAACTGATTGATGGACGTTTCACAGACTCCTTCTGTAAAACATGTAAACAGTACAAGAATCACCTCCAGCTCTCGATGCTATCCACTGTAAGCTTTCAACTCCTAGGCATTCACATGCAATTTAAGTTTCCTGCAGTTTGTTAACATCTGCTATGGACTATTATTATAGATTGTGATTTTTATTCATAACTGTTATGACATCACCTAGGAGCTACTTACTCATTATTCTACTAGTTTAGGCACTCTTTTGCTTGAGGCAGTTTGCTGCTTGTAATCTATGAAGTGGACCATTGAAATCACCAAAATGTAATGATCTAAGTTAAAATCTAGATGCTGTAGTTCAGAAAAAAAAAAAAAAAAGACAGAAAGGATACAGGAAGAGTAACCCAAACTTTTATGTAATTTCCCTTATCTGGTGGAGGGACAGTATATTTCTTTCCCTTGGAATAGTAATCATCACAGGAAAAACAGAGTTTTCATGCTCGGGGACTGTATCTCATCATGGGTATACACTATCCATTTCAGAGTTGTTGAGCTACGGACAGCTGTTAGTCAGACACCAAGAACCTACCCAGAAGGTACAGCCTCCAGGAAACGCGATGTACTTCCTGAGCGAGAGAAGCTTCAGTCTTATCACAGATAGGGATAGCTGTTAGAGGCATGTAACTTTTCCCTTACAAAAGGATATTGTGCCATCAAGGCTGGGCAGAGCTGACTATTTGGCATAAAAACACAGTGCATCATAATGAAATCATTTAAAACAGAATCTGTGAAACGAGAAGAGAGAAAACAGTCAATTAAGCCCCTGCAAACAGCTTGGGGATCACAAGGATGAGTTTTCTTTCAGCTACAATATCTTATTAGCCCTCTGCAGATAATAAAGGGGTCTTTTTGCACTTTGTTTGCAGGCATTAAGTATGAAAATGGGGAACGAACAAATATGAGCTGAAATATTAAGCTTTTATTCTTGTCTGCATGAATTTTATTGCACTTACGTTAACAGGCATTTGCCTGTGTCAAAGGGAAATTTGGCACAGCAAAAAACCCACCAACTGTACTGAAGTGAAATATTTGGATATACCTCTCTACAACTGATTTTAGACTAAGAACAATCAGGCCTGCCACACCTGGGTACCTGAGAACTGCTGCTGCATTTGGCTTTAGGGAACTACAATACCAGAAAGCACGTTTAGTATATACTACACAGGAGAAGGCAAATAATATAATTCTTTGCTGATTTCCTAGCAATAAGCAGAAGGCCTAAAAGAGGTAAATGGACAGTCAAATTTCTGGTTTTATTTTGATTCAAAGTATCACAGATGCTACTTTTACATTAAAACATATGAACAAATTGTTCAACGTATTGATTGACATTTTCTCTGGAAAAAATAGCAGGCTATTTTTTTCTGTTAAAATTATCTGTGACAGCACTGGTGTAAATCCCAGTTTGCCTTACCTTTATGTTTGTGACAAGAAGGATTTATAAAGCCTGGCTGCAGAGGCCAGAGTAAGTTTGGCAGCGAGAATAAACTTTATTTTACTTTTAAACTCTGCAAGTCTTACATGGAATCAATGAGAAACAATAAACACAACACCCTGGATTATCATTTCTACAATGCAACTTTTGAGATAAGACAAACATTTAAAAGCCCTGTAAGGAAGGGATGTCAGAAAAAATATCGGGAGATAACGGTGTAATGTAATATTACATCATTGCTTCCACCACAATTCATATATGAAAATATCTCTCAGTTGACAAAACTGACCTCGGGAAGGGTGGGACATTTTCTGTGTGTAATAGCCAGAGCAAAGTGGATTTAAAGTGTTCTTAAAGAAATTAATAAACTAAAAATTGGATTTTCCAGCTCTCTGAGCTTCTATATCCTAAAAATAGCTTTGTTTCTGAATTACAAGATTTTGTATCCCATTAGGATATAGGTATAATCTTGTCATTTGATGTTTTGGGGAAAATTTTTAAAAGATTTAAAAAATAATTTGTTTTCAAAAAATGTATAATACATGCATACTGTGAATAGTAAACTTGTGATTATATACTTGCAGGCTTAGAGAACAATATTCTGCTTGTAATCCTAATAAACAGGTATCTAGGAAAAGGATCATTTTTATTCTTAAAAGTGGTTAAAACACACACCACAAAAGCATTTCTGTAATCTTTCAATTCTTCCACCATTTATAGACCACTATACAGGCTTCTCCAATACTATGAGGTTTGTAACAGATTAACTGGATTTAAGAACAACTTTGAATATATAATTCTTAGACATCTGCAATGTAAAAAGAACTTGCTGAAGCAACATTATGTAGCTTAATATAAAAGTCTCTGCATATCATAATTAGGAGGAATTTTTTGTGCCTGACTCTCTTTAAAAATTAAAATACTTACAAATAGTAAGTCAACAAATATCTATACCCCTAGGTGTAAATTCTCTGTTCTCTCTACACTAATGAAAAGCAGCGTATTAAGTGCAGCTGTAGCAACCTGCATTCTTGGGACTTGGCCCATTGTGTGCTGAGTTCTTCTCTTTTAAGCAACAATTCTCTCCCTGCACATGGGAAGGTATCACAGACAAGTAATTTAAATTTTTATACTTTAAATGTGATATGGATATGAAAATTCAGGAATACTTATACTAGCATAATGCAATGGCTGGAGGTATCAAGCTAGTTCACAGTACTGAGTGACATCCACATCGAGAAGTACGAGTACCATTATCACCAGCTGATAATGCATGCTCTGTCCTGGCCTTACAGTTGTGCCTAATTAAAGTCATGACCGCCACCTTTTGAGATCTTGCTGTTCTACTCTGAACTGAAAGTACAAATACAATAGAGTGGGCAAGGAGCAGGAAATTGTTATCTTTAATTCTGGATTTCCTAGGATTTCTCGGGGTTGTTTCAGAGCAGCGGGCAGTTCTTATTCTGGGAAAAACTACCACTAGCTGCTTTTCAAAGCATCACATTGCAGTGTTCCACCACCAAGACCATTTTATGCAGTAATAATAACACAGCCTTTGTCATGTAGATACCTGTTGCTTCATTTAAAGTTGCTTCAAGGCGCATAGTTTCTAGAAAGTGCTCTAAAATTTTCTCTGGGGTTCCTGACATCACAATATACCTGAGGGAGGGAAAGAAGCAGTAAATGTCTCATAGGCAAAACAGCTAATCGAGAAACAGTTGTGTACCAGTGAGAAGACCAGGACTGATGAATGCCAGAGTACAAATACCTGCTCTGACCAGAATCTCTGTGTGGCTTAGGACCAAACCATTCACAATCTTTGTTGTCTTCCCCCCTGTAAAATGGGAGCAATAATACTTGCAACCCTACCCACTGAGTGTGAGACAACAGATGGCCCCCTCCCCGACAAGTACTCCAGTAAAACATCACCACAGTTACACCGCAATCAGCAGAGCTGCACTGGTGCAAACCTTGGGAAGTGCAATCAGAAATACTCCTCTACTGAGAATAAATATCTCAGTAATGATAGCAAATTGCAGTCATTAGAGGGTCTTAACAGACTTACTATGAGCATGAAAAGAGAACTGGTGTCTATCAGTGTCAGAGCAAGGAACCAATTTCCTTCAGCATCACTGACAGGGGTTGGTCTGAGAAGATGGGGGCAGATAATGAAACAACACACTGTACCTTCAAATTTGCGCAATGCTTTAGATAGCTGAAGTATGAAAGTTTTTCAAATGGATAAACTTGGGATTGTACCATTTCCTGGAGTAAATTCAGGGAGGTGAGAGAACTAGTGCAATAGTCAGAGTTTTCTGTCTCATGCAAAAACACCAGCAAGATTTTCAGTACCAGCAGAATATCATACGATATTGCTAAACTTGTCCTGTCGTCTCTTTTTTCTTTTCTTGCAGATTGGATTTTTTAATCTTTCCCTCCTTTCTTTCAATCTTTGCATCTTTTTTTCTTCTTTTTTTTTTTTTGAATCCAACTGATAAAGTATGAAACTTTAAAAAAAAAAAGAAAGAAAGAAAGAAAGAAAAAACCCCGAGAAGTGAAGATACTCTGCTCCTGCTGAGAAATAAGTGGTGGAGCTGAGCTCCTGGGAGCTCCTCCTCACTTTGAGCACTGACCGTCACAGTTCTTTTACCTGCCAACCTCTTTGGAAGAACTGTATTGATGTCCCAAGAACACAAACACTTGTTAAGCCAGTGCACATTCTCGCAGAGATACTAACCAAGTATCTAAGTGAGTGAAGCAGAGAAATCACAGGTTGCTGTACTCTGAATATGAAAGTGAAAATGAACAGTGAAGTGACTTGCAGGGCTACTGAATTCATCCTGCATGAGTGTGATCACCCATAAAGAGTTAGATCTTGGGAGCGAGAACTTCAGAGCTAGTCCTTCGAAGCGAAACTGTCACTGTTTGAAAGCATGGCTCGGGGAGCTATGTAGGAGCTATGTCTCCTCAGTAGAGGAGGCGGTAGAATCCAAACCGCAACTGAGAGGATCTGCTCCCACAGTGAAGTTTTCCCCAAGACTAAGATGAAGAAAATTAGTTTGTTGGTTGACTGGATATCTCAGGGAACAACTTTTGGATGCAGAACATTTCTCTAGTGTAAATGCTAAGTACCTGCTTAGGAGCAAAGCCCAAAAGGCAGCTCATCTGAGGAAGTATCAGAGATGTAAGCTACTCAAGTAAGGGCAAAGCAGCAACCCTTTAAGAAGAGGTCCCTGTTAAGCTGCTCTTCTGGGCACAGTGATTTTCAAAAGTACTGAACGCTCAACTAAGACATTCCAGTAACACATTCTGGAAATCAGAATACACCCGTAACTTCAATTTGGACTCTCAAGCATAAATGTAGCCACTTACTCTATTTACTAACAAAAGAAACAAAAAATTATCATTTTCAAAACCACTGAACTCACTTCAAAAGATTTTGAACAAAAAGACACTGCCAACACACTATTAACAAAGTAATCTGACTGCTGAAAATCAGGCAGTGAACTTTCAAGGTAGCTTCCTTTTTTGTGTAACTTATGTCTATTTGTGATTGTTATCAGCAAAAGCACCCTTGCTGGCACATAGATTGCACTCAAAAACTGACCAAATGCATAAAATATTTACAGGAATGAAATTCTGAGCTTTACCTGAAAATATTCCTGGAACGTAAGCTCTAAAATACAGCCTAACTTAACCAGGGCCCATAAATGTCTCTAAGCTATTTTTATCAAATTCTTAACAAGAAAATGTTAAACAATACAAATAATGCTGGTGCAAAGAGTTTGCAAGGAAGGTAGTGTTTGGAATATGTTTAAATGAAACTTTCACTTTTGACAGCAAGAAAAATATATCAGACCCAAGAAAATGGATTTAAATCTATGACCAAGCTGCTGTGCATGGCAGTTGCTGATGCAAATCCACTGGCTGCAGTCAAGTTCCCCTTGTTTAGATGAAAAACAATTGTTGTAAGAGTACATGTTTTCCTGGTAGCGTAATTTGTTTTTCTAATAGATCAAGTGAAAGATAAAACATCAGTTTTTTAAATATGTGAAATCTGTATATAAAATACAAGGAATCGTTTATTCAACCCTTCATAGATCTTTACAAATCTTCCTATTCACTTTTGCAGATAAAATAGGTATATGAAAACCCAGATCAGATAAACACTGTACCCAAAATACCTCACAGTAAATTAGGTCTTTCTTTGAAAGAAAGTAAAGCCAGGGTAAAGGATTCAGAACTTCTTGGTGCTTATTTTGCTGGACTTGTTCAAGCATTTCTGAAGAAAATTGTGCATCCATTTACAAATAACACATTTACAAAGCTTTTAGGGGTTTTACCAACATTTGGAATGACAATAGCCTCACTCTACTCTTATCACAGTAGTATCCAAACAGAATTGTACTTTTTCCCTCTCAGTGAGAAAGTAAAGAAAATATGATGAATATTGTTATTACAGTGCAAACCTATTCTGTAAGATAAGATGTGTGACTTTCATTTCATGAGATCTTCGTTTTGCATATAAATTGTACCTAGCAAACTCTTATTAGAATCCAGAGCTCAAAATCCAAAATGAAAATATCTGTACTTAACAGTAAAACAATGTATTTTCCTCACATCTTTTCACAGTAGCTCAGCTTAATAGGGTTTCAGCATTCTCCATGTGCAGTCTATTTAAAAGCTATTACATGAGATAAGAATTTACAGCGAAATCTTTAGAGAATTATTGTGTAAAGACATAGAACTGGTGTGCTGCTGAAAATGGTTATAATATCCAGCATGGGGCATGTGATCAGATGATGATTAAGAAAAAGAAAACTTTATATACACTGCATTCTTCCATAGAAAGGGGGAATATGCTATTGTTTGGATAATAATACCATATGAAAAGGTTAATCATTGTCTGACATTTGCACTATTGAATGAAAACATACTTGTGCTGAGGCTGTGAATTTCCTTGATTAGAAACTCTGTTTCCTGCTGGGATCTTCTCCAACACCAAGACATCTTGGTCATGTTCTTTGAGTCTTACTGTATTTGCTTCCACATCCTGCAAGACAAGTTACTTTTAATAAAGTAATTGCACCTGATTTGGCTGATTAGTTACTCTGAAAAAGCGCACGACTTTCAAACACAAAAGACTCTGAGGTTGGTTCTTTTCCACTGTATTTATCTGTCTTTATTCTGCTTTTCTCACAGGTAGAATCAAGAGGGAAGCACTGGCACTGGGGGAAGAGGCAGAGAATTGTGGGAGGAACTAGAGCAAGAACCATGTGAAACACCTCTGGCTATGTCAAAGGAAAAAATGTTTGCCAAAAAACAGAGTCCCTCCCCGAAACTCTCCATATTAAATGTAATCTCTATCCCCACTTATATATGAACATTATTATCTGTAATCTGACTTTTCTCTTTAAAAAAAAAAAAAAAGAAAAGAAAATGGCACTTAAAAATAGCTCAGTAAACGGTCAGGAAACTTTTCATTTTCTACTACCAGATCATAGCAGAAAAAGAAAAAAAGAATTAAATAAAATGTGCATTCAAATAACATAGATGAAAATCAGTAAGACTACAGACTGTGATCTTTGAAGTATTGACCAAAGCTAAATCAGTTGGGAGTCTCCATGGCCAACCCAACCTTACTGTCAATGGGATCCTTGTTCCCATTTGTACAGTAAACATAACCTTATGTCATTTTTCTAACAGAGTACTCTGTCTGGACTTGTTTTATTGCTGCAATACTGGGCATGTATACATTTGAATACTCGATGATATTGGGTTTGACTTCCTATACTATGAATGATTGCCAAACAGCCTGTATTTATAGAATTACAGCTGGACTTTGGAACACATTTGCCCTAACGTGAATAACTACAATGAGTCTGGGAATATCTTTCTAGACTCTCTGATAAAGACATCTGTGTATTTACCTGTAGCTTATTTAATTTGCCACTTGATTCTGCCTTGAAACTATTGAGTTTAAGGTACCTGACACTGACCTATCTGGGAGAACGGGTGATCTTGTTTTGTTCAATATTTGGATGGAAGATCACCCAGAAATCCTGGACTGTATAAGGAAAAACTGAGCACTTGGCAAATTCTAGACCACAGAAATGTAAGAGACAAAAGATTCTCTTTGGTCCCATTTTCACGGCTGAGCTAGGAACAGAGAAAGAGGAAAGATGATTAACATAGTCTTTACTTGATCTTCTAGACTGTCAGATCTCTGTTCTGCAATTAGGGACACTTCAAACAAGGTTATCAACATCAATATATCCACAGAAATAAGACAGACTCCAGAAAAATTTGAAAGTTCTGAGATCACGCTGTCGGGGCAGCCCTTCCCACTCTTACCCTAAGGATCCTGTTGAAGTCCTCCTTGTCTACTCTCAAGAAATGGCAGTTGTCTTCACGCAGAACAATGGATGCTGCTCTGGGAGCATCATTCACAAGCGCTAGCTTGCCAAAATCATCTCCTTCGTGTAGAGTACATACCACACCCTGCACAGAGCAAAACATTTACATGCAGAAACCCATCATTACTCTGGATTCTATTGAAAGTCCTTGTACAAATACCGGACTTCACAATAAAATACCAAAACAAATCTATTTGGCAGGAAATCAACAGCCAAAATAATGACTAGGAAACAATACTTGATAGCTGGTTATTACTATTACTAAAGAAAGGCAAGAATAGAAAAGAATTGGCTTGTTCTCTGAAATTACATTCTGCTTGAAGGACTCTTCTAGCCCTGCTGAAGACAGAAAGTTGTTGAGTTGTTTGTTTTTTATTTATAGAGGCCCTAAAAAGTAAGATCAAGTTTGCAGAAATAACATATAACACCACATCCTCAGCTGGTGTAAATCAGCAGTGCTCCATTTACTCCAATTCATAGTAACAGAGGATCTGGTCCACCCAGTGACATAAAAAATGTAGCTAAATATGGGTTATTTAGAAACAGACTTAACATCAGGGCTGCTACGCTAGATTTTGGTGAAATACGTGGTGTTCAGAATAGACGATTCTCCGTCACTGAATGAGAAATCAATAGGGAAATATCCTGGTTTGAGCAACATGGGACTAACTTCTCTGTCAGTAATTTTACTTTTCAGTAAAGTCTCTTCTAATGCTTGGGAAAATTGTACTTTTAGAAGACTCTAGTGTCTGAATTTGTGAAAATATTTACTTCATATCCAGCTATGGTAGGCAGGTTTCAAGGTCTCAGTATTTTCGAGTTAGCCAGCTGCAGGGATGAGGAGGAGCGAGACCTGAGCATTTGACCCAAGCTGGCCAACAGCATTATTTCATACCATGAACGACACATTCGATATAAATTAGAAAGTTTGCTGAGGAGTTCTCTCTCTTCCTCGATGGCTGCAATCCTGAGAACTTCTTGCCCTGGTGCCAGACAGCTGGGTCCTTTCCTTCTTCCTGCAGCCGAAGTGCTCGCAATGTCCAACATTTGCTGTCCACTGCTGGGAGTGCACAGCTTCCTACTGATACAACTGGCTGAGTATAATCCTTGGATATTTTATATTGGTATCAGGATGAATATTGATTCTTTAGTATTATTAATGTTAATTATTTAGTCTTATTTGATTAAATATTTAAACCCCCGGGTTTCCTTGTTTTTCGCGATTCCCCTTCCTGGGTGAAGGGGGGGTCATTGGGTGACAGAATAATTGTCTAAACGACAATACAATTGTTGTCGGTTCTTCAAACCATAACAGGAAGTAGGGATTTTTAAACACTCAAGGCATTGCTGTGTACTAAAGTCCTATTTTTTGCCTTGAAAAATCTCTCTCATAAACAGGAAATTTAATAGAGATGCTTTTCAGTCTATAGCTTAATTAAAATGAAGAGCTGGAGTAAATTTGGGAGGGGTTCATCGCACCTGAGAATGACTACTCACAAAGCAGTGCTTCTGTCAGACATGCCTGACGTGCATGAGAAAAGTTAGTCATACAATGCAAGAGAATATGGTGGTAAAGGGACAGAGCAAAAACCTCCGTGAGACAGAAATCTGGCAATTCACCAAATTCCAGCAAATTACTTTGTCCTAAAGTTACTGATGTAACTCTGCTGAATTATATTCAGAAAGTGTGTAATATATCAAAAAATTACACAGCAATCAACTGGAAGTATAATCAGTGAAACCACTGGATCATTTCTTAATAAAATTACATTCAATTTGTTTCCTCAGCCAAAGAAATTTTGCTCTAAATTAAACAATATTCCTTCAAAGTTTACTCTTACAATTTAAATAATAAGAATCATATAAAAATGCTTCTGAAAAAGATACCTTGCCATAAATGACTACGTTTACCGATCCCTTTAAGATAATGTACCAAGAAGTACCTTCTTCTCCCTGATTAAATACTACAAGAGAGAGAAAAGATTTTATGGTGAGAAAATAGTTATTCAAAATATAAATGGGCCAGACTCTGCACTCAATAGAATTCAAGGTACCTCTACTGCAGTCATATTAATGTCTACCTTGAAAAAGGGCATACTACAATTTTAAAAGCAATTGCCTTCAGATTATACAAAAAAAAAACCCACACCCATATAGTAGTTATTTTATTACACTGATGTGAAAGGTGCTTTTCTTTTCTATGACAATTGCAACAACTACTTTATCGATACATGTCAGGTTATCAATTACTAATCAACACACAGCTTTGGATCCCACCAGTAGCACCATGTTCTAACCCAGTTCTCTAGTGGCTGCAAATTTGACATTCATTTGCTAAAACTCGATATAAACAAGAATGAGTAATCTAACATCTTAAAACCTTTATTTTGTGCAGCAAGATTTTTTTTTTTAACACAAAGATAATATTGAAACACGTTTTAAATAGAGATTGGTCCAACCCAAAATTCTAGATAAAACCACACCCAAATCGTAGGTGATACCAAGGATATAGAATTGATTTTGGTACTGTCCCTGCAATCAGCAACAGACTAAGCCAACAGCTATTACCTCAGGTTTTAAACACTGGGTGACAGTCAATTTTGAAGAGTGCATCCAAGTCCTGCTCTTGTCATTTAAACATTAAGAATTTAAATGTTCATGCCACAGATGAAGAAGAAGATCTGACAGGATTTCATTTACTTACAGACCGTTCCTGCTTTGGGATGTGACTCAAAAATGAGGACACCTGCTAATTCTCGCTTTACCTTAAAATAAAGAGAGAGAGATTATAGTTTTTATATGTATCTTATTCTTCCTGGTGAAAGGAAGTCACATAATATATCCCAGTCGCTGCTTTCCTTCCCGTTGCATCGTTCAGCACTCATTCAGATCACACAGCCAGACAATGGTCTGCTGCACTTGATGTCGTATTTCCTACTGATTGGCTTTACAGAACATGAGCCCCTACATTTCCTGGCTCCAAATGGCTTAGACAAGAGCATCTTTAAGATACAAGTCTCCACGTCTTTCTTCATACACACACACACACATGAGAAGTCATCATTAACAATGAACATTAACATGATGGAAAATTTCAAACGGTAATAGCTGATCTATTACTGAAAATAACCAGCAACTGCCAAGTACTCCATGGGGCTCTGTGCTACTCCTGTTCTTCCCTGAGAAATCAGTACCCTTCCCCTTATTGACGTAAGTCTGGCCACTGCTGCTGCGTCGAGCTGTGAGGCACAGCCATCTGGTCCTGCTGAGGTCCCTCCACGCCTGACAGCTTCCCAGGCAAAATGTCCAGCTCACTACCCCTTCCAGAACTGAAGAATGCAACACTGCCCTTGGTGTCAGCCTGCTCCTCACTGGGTTTGTATTACTCTGGTGTGATTAGCTCTTACAACTGACTGGGCAGTTGCCTCTAGTGAGACACTGTTTAAAATCGCTTTTTCTCACTGTAAAACACTATTAGTGATACTTTCATGAAATAGTAGCAGCCCTAGGACCCTCATACTATCCTGAGTTTTCCTATGTGCTTTATCCCTCTCTTCGTACAACCACAAGTCTCCAAGGACTTGGAGGCCAATTTCCAAGCAGTGGGATTCTTGTTTTGCTTGTTTGAACATCAATTGGTGACAATCCATGTTTCAGAGGTACTACCATGTAAATGAACCATGCCAAAGACAGATCAAAAGCTGTGTACAGCATATACTTATTAGTAGTATTTTCACACCATTTTCCCAGCTGTTTAAATCGAAACAAATTTTAGGCCATGAAGAAAAACCTGGGGAGGAACTCTCAAATTCTGGACACAACCCAGATGGGAGTCTGGTGGCTGTATCTCCTAAGATGGGTGGACAAATTCAGGCTCTGATGCGCTAAAGGCACCCACCCAACCTTTGCTCAGACACCACACACAAACATACCACACCACCCGCCCCTCCCAGAACTCCTTCCCGACAGCCAGTGCAAAGCACTCCCTGTTTGCAGTTTGGAGAAAAGGAGGGATAAATAGAAGTGTTTGGACAGTTTTTTTTTAGTACAGTGACCAGTGAAGGCACTCACAGGCCTGTAATTTCTGTAACAATTAGCTCACCAAACTCTTTTATAACCTCTGCCTGAAGGCAATGACCTTTCGTAAGGACAGGAAATACAACCCCATTAGCACTGTTCTGCACATTGTAGAAAGTGTTCCTATCCATGTACGTCCTCAGATGTCTTCTCAGTTATTTCAGTCATTTGCCTCTGCAGTGAATGAATCCTCTCAATGAAGCCAAGAATTTGATTTGGTTTTAACACTTAATTATATAATTGTTTTTCATTCATGTATTAACTTCACAGGCTTCTCTAGCAGGGATTAGTTCATCACCACGTGACTTGAGTTTTATCCATTTTACTTCCTGCTGCTCATGGCATATCTAGAAAACTTATTACTTTAGGAATTATGCCTTGCTTAAATGAATAAACATTCCATTTGCTTTCAAGTCAATTGATCATTAATCTTCTGGTTCATAGGCTCACTGCTGTCTGTTGCTCCTCTGAAGATTTCCTCTAAGCAAGTCATGGTTTCCGTGCTCTGCTTTAGTTCATGCTGCATGTAATAGGCTGGCATTTCCAAATTCTTACTAAAACCATAGAATCAACTGCAATTCTTCAAAATGCCAAGTATTTCTTGCAGTTTGTAACATTTCCCATCCTTGTTCTATATGCTACTTGCTGCGGATTCTGACCTCAAGTCTGAGCTGGAAATATTTTGTGTTTCTGATTTTTTTGTTCTGGGTTATGTCTGTAGTATTAAGAGTGTTCTCCACTCCCTCTCAGTATCTGTCTTGGGTAGCTTCTTTTGTTTGATTTGAAAAGGGTAATTTCTGGATCTTACAGAAGTCTTTCTATAAATACTTTTTTCCTACATCCCAGAGATGCTTAACGATTTTGGCTGGCTGTTCCCTCTTAGTTCTGTTACCAACTCAATGTTTTTTTTGAAAAACACTGCTCAGGTGCTACACGTTTCCACAGAGTACTATCTTTCTGTAATGCAGCTTCATAATTAGCTGCATCTGCCCAAGTAACTTGAGAATTACTGAAAAGATCAAGAGCTTCCAAAGAAGCTACTGTCACACATAAATTACTTTCTGACCAGCTTTCTTCTTCTGAAAGCATCCACATCTTGCTGCTACCCCATAAAGCTTGTTTCAGTTGCCTACACAGCGTGTCAACGATGGTGAGACTTTAAACAGTCGCATTCTCTCCTCCAGGCATTTTCTCTATTTCATTTATTCTTGGTCCTCTGCATTGTTCTTGCCCACTCAGAGAGAAGGTGTCTGATGAGGTTTCTTTCACTCTAGGGCCAAACTCCAACCAGCCAGCACTGCACGTACACCTTTCTGCACTGTGTAATTCCTCCTCCTGGTTCAAGCCAAGACTTCCTATAGTTCAAATGTCAGACATCTATTCTGCAAAATTCTTTAGGGTCACGGTCCCAGGTGTCAGGTCAGATTGTATGCACCTTAATTTAAACTCAGATATGGACCCAGACGGAGGCACCTGTGCCAAGTAAGTGAGGCAGGGGCTGTGCAGAAACACATGAAGAGAATTATATCTGATATCCAAAAGACAACCTACATCTGCATAGTGCTTGGGTGGTCCTCACAGTTAGGAATAACTTATTTGCACAGTAAGTATAAATAGAAAGGGTTGTAGGCGCTCCAACTCTAATAAAATACCAGAAGTCAAAATTCAATCCCCCTTTTGGTGATAAGTTATATTTTTAAAAATACTTACTGTGGTAGAAAGATGAGATAAGGCCTTAATGTGAAGAAGTTCTTCATGTATAATTTCTAAGTCATCTACAGTTCTCTGGCCAGGCCTACAGAGAGAAGATAAAAAGGACAGCTAAATGCAACAAATGCCCAAAATAAACGCTTCAGAGAAGTACAAATCAACATAAAATGCTGTTGTACTGTCTACTGAAGGGTACATCCTCACTAAACAGGGACTGAACAATGGTTCTGGCTGGAGGACTGAAACATACAAAGGATGGAAGCGCTATGAAACCACCTGAATGACACCGAGGAGCAGCCATGGCAACCACCTTAGAGAGATCCTGATTAGGCAACTTTCCCGATGAAATCAAATGTTCTATATGTAAAATGGTCAGATACATCAGAAATGGTACATAAAGATTTGCTTCTTTCAAAAGAACTCCTGAGTGTGGGGGACCTGCACTATATTTCACATGCGGCACTAATTAGTTGTAGCAAACAGATAGTAGTAGTGGTTTGTAATGGGATTTCTGTGTGAATTTCTGCATGAATTGGAAGAGGCAGCAGTGCATCTTGGAGGACAGGAAATGACCGCTAATGCTGAGTGCTGCTGTTTAGCCACAAAGGTAAATAAGAACCACTCAGTAGTTTCAACTTCTCTCACTGAAAAATACAAGAAGCTGCCATTAATAAAAAGCATGTATTGATGAAGGAATAATCCTCCTATAGCACAACAAGGAATGAGGCTGCCACTGTGACTGAAATAATTTCATTTCTGTAGTCTACACACTCGAAAATTTTCTGTTTGCTAAAAAAGGACACAAATACTCTGAGGACTGCAGCATGCCACAAATGCTTTGGGGAATCTAATAAGTAGTACCCATGAGAAGGAGTTGCAGAAGCTTGTGAGTAACTCCTAATCTTTTTGCCATTCACAAGATTCTCTTCAGTTAAAGTGTCTAATACAAGTTTATTTTCTAAAAGGACATATTCACCTGTGATATAATTTCAGACAGTGCATTGGAGTTATGTACACACACACAGAAAAAAATCCTTTAAAGCATTATCCTAAATTACTTCTATAGGACTAAGTCCTTTCAAGCAATGGTTTAGATTTGTGAAAAGCAGAATATAAGTAATTAAATCAATGGGCCAAGAAGAGAAGAGCAACCTAGTCCATAAGAAGGCAGAGAGGACAAATTTAAGATGTGCAGAAATGGGATACAGGAAGCCCAGTCCAGGGGCAGGAGTTTCAAAGGAGAAGGTTTACATGCTCGCATTAAGAACAGGCTAATACGCACTTCCAGTCCCCACCATCTGCAATGCATGGTGTCTAAAGAATTAACAGCACAACCGAACCTTTGGACAGCCTTAAGATCAGTGTTGGAACGAACACTTCTGATAGAAGTTTTCCTTCTAAAATGTCAATATTACAGGAGATTCTAGCATCTAGACGATCACAAAAGTCATATGAAGAAATACAGTGCTCTACAGATTTTCTGCCTAGTCACCTCTTGGTTCAACAGTCTGTCTAAATCATGTGTGAGGTACAGGGAGCACCCAGCAATTGTGTCACTCTAGAGTTACATTGCATCTTTTTGCAAAGAAGTTTGATGGAGACTTCTTTTGGATGAAAGAAGTACTGAAGAAGCCACAGAAAACATAAGGACAACTGACATCTGTCCTAAGAAAGCTGTATTTTTCATCTGTTCCTCACTTACCAATGACATGCATTTATTATTACCCAGATTAAAGACCAATTTAGACCAAAAAAACCCGTTTTGGATGAAATTATTCTTTTCTTATACAGAATGGAATAAACTCTTAAGGGAGAAACAGAAACTGGTTTGGTACTGCTATGCCCTCTAGTGACTCAAAATACTCTTTACTATTACTGAATCTGGCTTGAAATTGTAACGCAAGGCTTCCACTCCTAGTGATTTATGTAGAGCGGTAGCAGCTTAATTAAATACAGAATAAAGCTAAGCCAGTACTAGCTTCACTAGAGATTTAAGAAACACAAGGTAATGATTTTAACAAATAATACTTCCCATAGGAAGCAATAACTTTAATTTTATTGCATGCTTGCACAAACAGCATGTCTTGGAAAACAGGAAACATAGCATAACAGATTAACAAATTTCTACATGAAATTAAAATATAAAAGGATGATGTCTTTCTACCTCAGATCTCTATCAAGACAAAAGGGTACACTCTTTTTTCAGTATGTCCATTTGCCTCCTGTGTTAGCACATTGGGAGGACTGGCAATCTATAGTGGATGTACCCAGTCTTTACTTCTGCTCCTGCAGATGTCACGTGGAAAGATATTAGGCATCACTGCTTCTGTAAAACCTGTGAGGTGACCCACTGATGTTGATTTGTAGGATCCTGCTGTGTAAAGACCTAGTTTCTGCAGGGGACACATTCTAACAGCAATAGCTGGTTATAGACAGGATAATAAATGGAATAGGTACAGCACAGGGCTACACATTAATGGACAGGAGAACTCAGGTGATATTAAGTGATCAATAAAAACTGTTCAGTGTTTGGAGAATTTATCAAGGTCAGAGACACTGAGATTTTCTGTGACTAAGACGTTGACAGTAACATAGTACTTTGCCACTGATAAACCATGTACGTCCCGCTAACCAGAAAATTCTCAGATAATAAGAACAAGGGAAAAGATCAGAGACACCATAACAGTGTGATTATATCTCAAATAAGCATGTAATTCCAGAGCACAAATTTTGCCTTCATGTACCATAAAGAATATATAGGAGACATGAATAATTTTACCCGCTACCTGTGTCTGAGCGTGAAAGTGAATGCACGTTCACTTACTCTAGCACACAAGCTAATTATGTAATCTTTGTACTTGAATCGGTCCTCCTTGATTAACTTCATTCATACCATTTACCACGTACAGCACACATAAATGGCAGTGAACTGATATGTTGAAAGATAATCTGTACTTCCTGTCCCAGAAATAACACTTAGTTTATTAAATATCATTGGCTGGAAACTCCACCAAAGACTATGGAACTTAATATAGGCTTCATGGAGAAATCCAGTATGGTTCTTACTACTAGCAGCTGGGTGGAATACCTAAATAAAAAAATTTAGGAACAAGAGAATAAATATATCTTGCTCAATTTCTACAAGACCTTCAAGAAGCTATATATTCTTAGCAATAATTAAATCGTTATTGTATAATTATATTTGTTTATATTTTATATTTTATAATATATATATTTTATATATATAATATATGTATTTTGTGCTGTTTACCATGTTTTGGTTTTGTTTTCACTTCCTCTCCCTAGCATCCTGTCAAGCTTACTTATGTAAGTGACACTAAAATTTGATTACTGATCACATGTGGAATCAAATACTCTTTGTACTGAGAAAAAAATTTGCTGGGTGAAGTCACCATGAATATATAACACAAATTTTTTGTTTCACTCATACTGCTAACTTACTGTAGCCTAGAGTATTAAAAAATAATATAATCCATAACATCATGAGTTAAATACTGTTGTCTGATTAATATCAGTCTCCCTTTAAAGACTTCTGTTATTATTGTGTTTAGCTTTGTATTACAGCATCCTATTTAATTAGAGTTTACCATCAAGTTAGCTATATCTCAACACCATTAAAATCAAATAAAAATAACTAGAAAAATGTTTTCAGGATGTATTTTCACACTGAAGGACCGAAACGGTTGTGAGGAAGAGCTGTGTTAATTCTACAATATTTTTTCCAGGGACCTGCTCAAGGTCTGCACCTGTGGTCCAGGCATTATAAGGAGCAGAGAGCTGTGTTTGCTACTTCACAAAAAATTATTTTCACATTCAGTGTATGTGTTTCCAAAGAAAAAAAAAAAACACCCAATAGCAACAAGAGCCTGCCAAAAATTTCCCTGAGCTCTATTCTGTTTTTTAAACTATAGAACATTCTTTCACAGTTTGACAGTTAAAATGCTGCAGTTAATGTAATAAACAGAGAATTTTTTAAGTCGACTGTCAAAACAAGTGACACTTTTTGCTAGAGATTTTCAGATTTTGAACAATAGAAAGTACCTTTCAAAGCAACAGCTTCATTATACAATCAAATTCTCAAAGTAATCTTCTCATCAAAGAATATTGTCTTATTTCTTTCAGGGTAATTATCTGAGTTCTGCAACCTCTCCGGAAATGGTGACTATTATAAAATGCAGCTGTGTTGGTTTGAAAATTGTGGGTCCTGCTTGGGTCAGTTAGAGGCAGAGTCTCTGAAGCCCTGACAATTCCTTGAACTTTTGGCAGCTGTAACAGTGCCTAGTCAAAACTAGCAGGACTCTGAGGATTCATGGAGATTTTAACAGCTTTGATGCAGCTCAGCCCAGGGTGGACTTTCAACTAGCAAAATCATAACGTATGTAAACTGAATACTAGAACAGTAGTTAATATGGTGCCTGGCAGTACAAGCTTGCTTCCATGAGCAAAGGGCAGCAAAAATAAGCACCTTCAGGGACAGGGATAGGGAAAGATGTCAGATGGCTGCCAGTCTTGAGAAAACCTCTTTCCCCTCACTATATTGCATGAAAAATCTCCTACGAATATTCTTTGAGACGATGCTGTGCAAGTGACGACACAGAAGGGAAAGCAGTACTTTCCACAGCATCTTTCCAGACTTTCAGCTCTCTGCAAGGACTGTGTATGATAATCAACATTGACCCTGCCAGGGTAAACTTACACTGGCTGTTTTTAAAGTCAAGATGGAAAGCAAATGTAGTAGGCAGCCAAAAACCATAATAACTTGAAGGGGCAATTCTCCAAGAGCCAACCTGCTCAGTCACCCTGAGGCAAAGGAGATAGTGCAGAGGTGCAGGTCCATAGCACACATAGCACTGGTCCTGGGCTCCTAATGATTGGCATCTGCTCATAGGTGCAAAAAGCCCTCTTTAGCTCCTCAGCGGAGAATGCACAGGACCTCCCTGTGGGGAGAAAACACCCCACTTCCCTGACAGCATAAGGGTTTATGGAAGCACCATGCTCCCAGCCTGGTTTGTCTATGTATTTTCTGTGACAGGGAGAGAGTAATCCTTTGGTTGTGTTTGACTAGACCTTTAACAAACAGAGGAAAGAGAATTTATACTTTAAAAACTATTGCTGCAGGGCAGTGCTACCTAATTTTATAAGCGCAAATATCTGATGGCACTTTTTGAAATTCAGTGCTTTTAACAAGGTTTTGGAAAAACGTCATCTAAATGAGCTTACAATCTAAACAGACAACAGAGGGCCAAGAATGAAGCGGGGAAAGGATACTGATGGAAACAGAATAGGAGCAAGCACTTGTGTTAAGTGGATTCAAAACATTTTTAGTATAAAAAATGTTTTCACACTGTAGGCAAGGCCCAATCCTATCCCATAGCAAAGACAAACTTTCCCAATGGCTTCAAAGGAGCAGGACCCAGCTTTGTTTACTTACCTTTCTTGAACTGACCCCTTTACAAGTAAATCTGTAGTGAACAGGACCTTAAGTAATTCATTATTCTCAGTCCGCTTAATTAGCAGTAAAATATGCCTTCAGCGGCTTCTAAACACTACCTGCATAATGAAGAGGTTGCCTTTGATGGAGGGTCAAACAGAGTTTATACTGGTTGCTTTGAAGTCACCACGAAGTTGACTGTAAAAAAGGCCTTTAGGCACAGTTTTCAGTGTGACCACAATGCATTGCTGGAAGGACAGTTAGCCAACCGACGAGTGAGAGGACACAATCTGATAGCTATGAAAAGGTTAGGCAGACATCCTCCATGGCCTAGGTACAGGAAGCATTTTTTATTTTCAATGTATTGATTTTATAACAATAAGAATGGATAAATAAACCCACAGAGCCACATTTCACACCTTGCTAGCAACCTACAACAGGCCAAGTCCAGCCTATCTTAACTCAATAAAGTTCTACTAAGGATTAATCTAATTAATGGCTGCCACTGACAACTGTAATTGAAAGGTGCCTGCTGTGCTGCCATCCTACCACTCTACTCACTCACAATAACTGAAAGCAGCATAGTTAATTGAATCGCACATCTACACAGAAAGTGTTAACGGAGCAGGACTCTTCTATTACCTGCAACTTACTTTTGGGAAGACTCAGAAATGAAATAAAAACTCATAATGCAGCATTTTCCTCAAGGTGAGTACAATGGCATTCATGGCCTTTGATGGTTACTCTCAACCCACAGCTCAACTTATAAGCATTAATAAGGACTGGAAGTGACTAAATATGGACTTAAAAACCTTAGAGGTTGAACAAACTGGCACTGAAGTGAAATAACTGGCCAAAGGATGCCTGATAATAAATGTAGATTTCTCTTGTTTCCATGTCACAAGGAAGGCCCATGTATAACATTAACTCATTAATCTGCTTACGGTTTTCTGAGAATCATCCTCATATGAGCATCTGGCCCAATCTGAGACAGAAGCAGCATGGTGTCCTGTAGCTCCTCATCACATTCTTTTTTCTCTTCCTCAGTTGGCAAAGGGGCATCTTCACGCTCATCATCCAAAAATCGATAAAATAAGTATTTGTCTTGAAAGTGGTGTTCCTGATCCACTGAAAACAACATAACACAAAGCTGTCCTCATTAAAGTTAACCTTGTAGAAATCTGTGTAGCATCATATATGTCACAGATAATATTAGTTAGGAAGGGAAAGGAAGCTACAGAGAAACTGCAAGAGTATGAAACACCTTTACTTCTCACATATGTCCAAATTGTGTGGCTTGAAGGGTACACTTTTAAATTGTGTACTACAAATACTTTCCAACAGGCTTCTGTATATGTGTGTTGTGGTTGTGTATACATACATGCGTGTGTGTATGCGTGCATGTGTGTGGTTTCTTTCTTTTTAGATCTGGTTTTGTTCTTATCGTTTCAAACCATTTCATTTAAGCAAACAATTCACCCTGTGGAAACGGTTACATCATGAATTTCAAAGAGGTGTTCTCTAGCATGGACACCTTGCCCTACATGTTTCAGACAGGGCTAAAAGGTAACAAAAGCATCTAAATTCTTTCTGATGTACCAGAAATGTACATCATCAAGATACAATCCCAGGGGAACTTAATGAAAAGACTACCAAGAGAAGACTTCTAAAGGCAGGCTATGATATAGTGAAGGACAAACCCTTGGTCTTCCAAGCAAGTCAGAGTAATGTGTTGAGCTGGTTACTGTGATGCAGCTTGTAACAGCTTGCCCCTGAGAGTTCAAGGGAATATTAGGCAGGAATTAAAGCTAGAACCCTTAAGGTAAGGAAGTGGTAGAAACAATCTTCCTAGTGTGGAAATTTTTCCCTGAGATATGGGGAGTACAACAGATGATAAATGGAAGTGTACTGTAATAGAGCTGCTCTTCTGAACTTAATAAAACTGTACACGCAAAGCTTCAAATATGAATATTGCTTTAGAAAGCTACCATTTTGAGGGCTATAATATCCTGTTAGCAAGTAAATCCTGCCAAATGGAAACTGAAAGTCAATGTAAAATACAGTCAGAAAATAAACATAAAATCCCAGATCTCTGGATTGGAATATCTGGAGTGCTGAATTTGGGAAACATTCCAAAACCACTGAAAAACATTCCAAAATTATGGATCTGAGCAAACACAAATGATCATGTTCACTTCCAAATGCTGTAAATCTTTGATGCAGATCAGTTTTGTGCGTGGTAATACATCTCTTGGCTTTGGCCTGAGTGCTATCCAGCTCTTGGAGTATAAGCACAAGCCAGTGTACTCCTATAATTAGAGTTATCATTATAAATTGTTCATTTACTTTTCTATATTCTCAGAAGATAAAAAGGTATATTGGTAGCAAGATTCATATAATACTGTCTGGGTGTTGCACTTGCACTTATGAATGAACAGGCTGTTCTGCAGCATTTCTTTTGGGCTCACGATCCCTTTCCTTTTCATGAAAGAGATCTACAGAGGTACTGATGTCACCCATTGCCCATGTTTTAGCCAAGATGCTGATTTACTTTATCTTACCATGATTAAGAACACCTTCTTCCAGCAATACTTGCCACATGCCAACAGCCTGGGTTCGTGAATGGACACAAGTACTTTGCTGCATCATCCAGTCAACTAGTTCTGTCCCCACACAGCATTGCCTTAAGGACAAATAAATAGACAGAAGTGAAACGGGAGCTAGCCGAGAGAGAGATCACACACACTGTCTGCCATGAACAGCGGTATCTGAAACTCTGTATAACCTTACTCAAATCTCCCTACAGAAAACACAATGTCACCATCTACGCCTATGTGCTTGAAATACCAGTGAAGTTGTTCAGTTTTGAGAAGATCACCTCAGCAGAACAACAAGCGTTTTGAGAAATGCAAAGTTCAGAGGATCAGAGCGAGCCTGTGCCGCCTGGTACAAAACCTATTGCACCAGTGCAACAACCTGCAACGCAGATTTCAAAGGAAACTTTCTCTATATACCACGGGATAGCAAAAGCCTCATGCTTTTCAGAATCCTGTATGAAAACAATCATCTAGTACTGTAAAAGCTTTGCCAATGAGAACAGCCTCCACAGGAAGAGTGAGTGTTATGAGAGTGTTCCTCCATTTGTAACCAAACTCCGGCCACACTGTATTTGTGGACATTGTAAGTCTACAGTGAGGCTCTCTCATGCTTGGCGCTGGTCACCTCACTGACCTGAGGCACCTGACTGACCCAGAGGCAGACAACAGCACGCCTCAAGTTCTGAAGAACGCCCAAAGAAGGGGAAAAACAAAAGCCACATCATCACTAAGTGAAATTCTTTGTCATAACACTCCCTAGCTCAGCAGAACAGAAGCAAGTAAGTAATGTGATCAAAAACTTAAAAATCTGTAACTGCTCACACACAGAACAGAGAGGAAGCTGGCTAGTCCTTCTCAACAGGCTCTGTGGCTCCACACTTCATGTATCACTTTCAGAGACCAGGGAAATAGATAATTCTGAAATTGCTGAAACTAGCTTAAATAATGCTCTTCCAGTTATAATCCCATTTTCATGACAAAACTTTCCCTCACCTGGATCCAATCTAAATTTTGGCATTTCATACTTAAAAAACCCAAGGATACAACACTAGGAGTTTTTCTCAGTTTTGTATAAGATAAAACAGTACAGTTGTTTGGACCAGCATTGATCTTCATTTAGCATACATGCTCTTTTGTTTTTCTCGAACAATGAGCAACGTCATATCATGATATATTCTCAGATCAACTCACAATATCCAAATACCTTGCATCATATTAAATACATTTTGGACTGAAATATGGAAAATCAATGACTTATCTGAAAAGCAGATCAGCAACATATTGATTTACTATTTAGAAAAAGTCGGATATTTTAAACCAATGTTTATTTAAATATACTCTGAATAATGCATTAGGTTTTTGATTTAAACATTAGACACTAAAACAAATGGATTGTTTCTTAAGCCAACTGTAGATAGATCCTGACTCCTTGAACTCGGATTTCTAGTCTACGAATGCCATTGTCATCCCACTTCAGCAAGACAGTGCTGCCACCAGCAGGAAGATAAGAAAGCATGGCAATATACTGAAAAAAAAAATAATTTAAATATAGCAGAAAATCTACATAAGGAATGTTTCTTACCAGGTGAATTTTCAGAACTCCACACTGAGCAACACTGCTGTAGCAATCAGTATTGTAACATAATATATTAGTGAACTTTCCTATTATCCCTTCCTGATATACGAAGAGAACAGAATCTACATTTTAACTTGATATTGCATAGAATATTCCAGCTAACTATGCTATTAACTTTGGAAGAGTTTTTGTATGTGAATGCTCTGTTCACAATCATGGACTCAATTTCCAGCCAAATTACTTCAGAAAAGATTTACCAGGCCCATTAAAGACTGCATAACATCCAGACTCAAATAGCATCACAGAATAATTTCAGACCTTTTGAGACCTGCAAGTATGGTAAGGCATAAATCACAAATCAGAGGATGGAAGGCATAAAAATTCAGAGACCTCTATACAATCAGCTCACACACCTGTAAGTCTTCAGATGGTATTTACGATCTCTTATCATGTGAGGGGCTCGGGACAGAATTGTATTCCGCAAAATCTTTCCAGCTCTGAGGATCTTTTCTGAAGGAACCTTGGTGATCATGGAGAAAAAAAAGGGACCAAGACACACAGATTTTAAACTGTCCACAATCTCTGTACTGCCTTCTGCAAAACAAAACACAAGTTCTCTTTTCCCTAAATTAAAAGTCCTTGCACAGATGCTTACTTTTGCAGAGCAATGTAGTATATATTTGGGATTTTAAGTCTCACATACTTATCACATCTAACAGAAGGCATCACTTCAGCTTATACACATTACACCATTGGAAACAGAAGTTATTTTCATTTGTCTAGTGGCCTGGGTCTACAGCACACCTATGTCCTATTACCTGTGTAATGGTTTTAGTAGGGCGATGTGGGATGTGAGGTTCGATAAGAGATGTCTGAAAAATAAAATGAAATTAAATACATTTTTAAAGGTTGAGCAGTAAAATAAAATAAAGGCTAAATTAAAAAAAAATGAACAAAGAATCTGCAAAACCAAAGAATGACGTTTAAGTCCAAGCTCTGCCCAAGGGACGCGAGTAGAAATAGGTCTCTGAAGACATCATAAAGACAAACGTGGCTCTTAATGCTCAGCAAATTAAAACAGTGACATGACACGTGGAGATGAATAACAAATGCATGTTAAACTTTCTAAAGTACTAATGAGTGTGCCATGGCCAAACACCGCACCAGATCTGAGGCTATGCGGACATAGCTAGCTCTCCCACTTGCTGCTCTCAACCTGCAGTGGGCACAACCGCATTCCTCCGCACACGGCTGCCTCTGCCATTCAGTCCCCCTCCATGGAAACTCTCTCCTCCTTCAGCACCCTTTTCTATTCAGCTCTCTTCTCCCTTACAGCATAGCACAACAAAAAGGAATGAAGAAAAAGCTCTGCTCCCACTATCTGTCTTTTCTAAACTACCATCGGCCTGGCCGGCAACCCTTTTATAGCCACTCTTTGAAATGCAAGAGCACGCAGGCCACTCGCAGAGACCTGGGTAAGGACTTTCACAAAAGGGCTGGTGAAGGAAAAAGAAAAGAGTAAAGCAGGTGACTTGGTTCTGCAAAGGGAAGAGTGAAAGGGAAGACTATCAGGGCTCTACAAGAGAGAAGCAGAGGAGGGGATGAGAGAAATGGGAAAACAGGCACGTACCGAACAGGGGAAAGGAGAGGGGAGACAAGAAGCACATGGCACAACACAGAGGAAAAGAGAAAGCAGAGGGTTAAAGGACAGTAGAAATGGAGACAAAGGAAAACAAAACCTAACTTCAGCAGCCACCTCAGAATGATGGGAAGACGTTTGGCTTTGTTGGGACTGGTAGTTAACAGCATGGACCAAATTTACTTCTATTGTGAAATGTCAGGAGACACGACACGAGGGCTGAATTTGGCTGGCGTTCTGGGCTTGCCGACAGGGGAGATCATACTGCACACAGAGGTCTCCCACAAGGGCAAGACCTTGCATCTCGGCCCATGGCAGCCACAGCTCCCTTACATCCGTACAGCAAAGGCAGGACAGTTGGGTCGGAAGTATGGGGAAACACATGATGTGTACTGCTGGGTTGCCGGGTATCGGTTTTCTTAAGCTGGGCATCTGTTCGTTAGCTCCCACAGGATTTAATGATGTGACAAAGTCCTTGTAGTATCAAATAGTGCTAGGAGCTACAAATGCACCAGGAGACTATAGGTCAGCCGGGAAGGGGAAAATGAGGGAAGCACACAACAGAAACCAATAAAGATAAGATAATCCTAACAGAGAGGCCTGTATATGGAAAACAATGCAAATGGCTTTTCATTTTTACTCACACCTTACAAGCAGTCTCTGAAAAGGCAAATCAGTACAATTAAATTGTGATTCATGATATTTCTCATGAATAAGTCAACAATTTTTCAAAGACTCATTTAAGTCATAAACATTTCTGTCCCACCAGAAGAGCAGGAGAACATCCCTCAGTATTTCTTGGTTTCTGGAACTGAGTGGAACATGCTTTAGATAGTCTACATTTGCAGGTAAAGCATGCCAAGAACAGCAAGAATCTTTTGAAGGCCGCCTCTAATGCAAACAAAACCACTGAATAGCAGTTTCAAACAGTTATATAAATAACCAATGAAGTCAGAGATATCACTCTGAGTATTAATAATTTTTGCTTCTATTTTCTTTTAAAAGGATTTCAAGTCCTCGTCAAGTTCAATGAGACTGAAGGAAAATATATACTTGAATGGTTGGCTAAATTGGCATTGAAGTAATTATGAATATTATTTTTACATTCTACATTCTTAAAAGATTACTATTTTTTTAAATCAATAAAGCACAATATAGTCTAGCTTCCAGTTTTTAATTCTAGTTAGGAATATACTTCAAAGGAGAGATAAAATGTGTAAGACAAAAAATATAAGAGACTTTTACAGCAATAGACTAGTGAAAATGAATACACATTTTTGTTCTTTAGAGTTTCCATTAAGCTCCAACAAAAATGCATACAACTAATAGGTGAAAAAAATGAATATGGATGAAGATCTGTCAATAAATCTCCCGTCCGAATCAAAACAGAATAAAAGAGAGCATTTAGAAGAAACTTGATTCAACCCAAAAGTACAGAAAAACCCAAGGTGAAAGCTAAGGCACAGCACAAGAATCTACAGAAAGCAGCAGGAAGGCTTGTTCACCTACATTTGATCCTGACCAATACAGAAGGATCAGCTGCAAAGCCAGAAGGTAACTTGGGTGAAGGTGATCATAAAATGATGCGGTGTCAGAACTTTACAGAAGGAAGTAAGAACATCAAAGTAGAAACAATGGACTAGGAAGAAAAATTTCCATAAAAACAGAATACTGATAGCTAAATTCCTGGAGCAGGTCATGGGGGAACAAGCATAACGTAAAAAGAGTTAAAGAGAACTGGTAGTTACTTAAAGAAACAATACTAACCACACATACAATATATACTAGCACAGAGCTAGAAGATGGAGTAAAGACTCAACTTAGCTAAAGAAAGCTCTTCACTGAAATAAAAGAAGGAAATGCACAGAAAGGAGAAAGTAGGGGTTTACAAAAGGCAAATATAAAAAATAAATTGAATAACAAAGGACAGAATTAGAAAAGCAAAGGTATAAAATGAGACAGATCTACCAAGAAACGTCAAGAAGTACAAAAAATATTCCACAAGTACCTTAGTGGTAAAACAAAGAAAATAAAAGTGTTGATCTACTGTTCAACAGAGGGAAATCTATTGACAGGTAACTCAATAAGGCCAGAAGCAGCTGATCTATTCTTTATATCAGTGTTCATTAGAAAGATCAGCGGCAGAGAAATGGCTAATATCCTAAGTAGCAGAGTGACAGGAGTAAAATCTCAGCCTGAAAAAACAAAAGAACGGATGAGAAAATATTACGTAAATTAGCTATTTTCAGATTGGCTGGGTTTGTAGGATTTCATGCAGGAAACTTGAAGAGCTTGAAGAAATGTAAAGAGGGCTGCAGCCACCTCTGACAAGTCTTGGGGACTAAGGAAGGCAGCAGAAGACAGAAATATGGGAAAAGGAGGAGCTGAAAAACTACAGACTTGTCAGCTTAACTTGTCTTCCTAGAAAATGTCCATTTGTAAGCACCTGGAAAAGAACAGGGAGATGAATCACATGTGATGTATATTAATCAAGAACAAATCATGCCACACTGAACCAATTTCTTTCCATGACCGGGTAGCAACACTGATATATTAGGGAAGAAACACTTTGGCACTCTCTCTTAAGATATTCTCTTCTGCAAAGGGCAGATTAAATTCTCACAAAATAGGTGCGAAGCCAGTTGGAAAAGTATATTTTGAAAGCAATTACCAGTGAAGGAAAGTCAAACTGGCAGTCATACTAGAGGTCTGTTCTGAGCAGTGTTCTCAAGAATATATCACATCTGATACTATTAAATATTAACATGGGATAAAGTAGAAACGTACACCGATTGATTCTGCACAAGACTTCAGGATGGGAAGGACTGCACATACACTGGAGAATAAGTTTACAATTTGATGCAGTTTTGACATTGGTCTGAAAAAAGTATGATGCTGTTATGCAACACAGACAGTGCTGACTACTTTTCTGAAGCAGGCAGAATCAGCTAGATAAAGACATGATGGGGAACATGTCTTAGCGCAGCTCCACAGAAAAAGAAACAAGGTTTATAACAGATATTAAACAGAACTGAGTAAGTAGTGCCATACTTGTGTGAAAACAACAAATACCGTACTGGGATGTAGTAAGATTACACACATAATGCAGTTCTGCTTTAGTCATTCTAGGTAAGACCTAAACTAAAGCACTGTGTCTCATTTGCCCACTTTACTTCAAAAGCATCTAAACCAACTGGACAGAATTTAAAGGAGAGCAACAAGAATAATCAGAAAGCACAACATAAATAATCAAAGTTGTTCAGCTAAGGAAAACGCAAGTCTTAGCAGAAGTGTGATAAAAGTCTTCAGATTTAAAAGGCCTTTGAAAAGAAGAAAGAAGTGATCTAGTCCATCGTACAGAGATCAGGAAATAAAGAGTTTAAACTGCTGTAAGAAAGATTCGGGTTAGACACCGGTGAAGCTTTTCTAACAGCGTGAACAGTGAATACTGGCACGGATTGCCAGGGAGGTGTAGTGCTTCCATTTTCGGGGGCTTGGGAGGATATGTAAGGTATCCGTCTGGAGTGACACAGCTATAGTGAAGCGTGCATGTGGCTCTGGGATGGACTAGATGCTTTCCTGAAGTACCTTATAGCCTCACTATGTGGCTCTGTGCAATATTCGAGGATGCTTTTCCATGTCTAAAAATAGTTCAACCACAAGGTGGTACTTAAAGAGACGATCAGTAATACAACCCCCAGAACAGCAAGCCAGGACTCAAAAAAGCAAGGCAGTCACTCCTACTGAGGAACAACATTGTTGCCATCTGTCCTGGTTTGAGGTAAAACAGGACCAATTTTGTTCAGTAACTTCACTTCACAAAAGACATGCCCAGCAAAGAGTCCCCCCAAAGTTACAGCCTTTCAAATCTACTGCAGTGAACTCTGGCTGCAGTACCCATGAGATGAAATGCAACAAATGGAACCATGGGGCTTGGACTGAGTTTGCTATCGAAAGGCAAGTCATGCTTCAAAGGCGGAGAAATGTAACATCAATTAGTTAATAGGAGATACAGTGCTCCTGCAACAACTTCCCGTCAGAAAAAAAAAAAAAAAAAAAGGATTCTGTAAGGGATTGTATCTTAGGATAATAGTCACAACTTGGCTGAAGTCCAAGAAATGTTTTGTAAGTCTTTACAATCTTGGATCTCTCAGTAAGGGGTGCTGAGAAAGCACTTGGAAAGAAAGAAGTAGCTCTCCTTATAAAACAGCAGAGAGTAAGCAGAGTGTTTAA